TAATTATTTGTTGCTGGTGAAGTGGTTTCTAGATGGAAGTTTGTCAGCAAAAAAGAGTTGCTGGAGTAAAAAAGCAAGGTTTATTTTTCAAAAATAAAAGCTAGATTTTTTCCTCCAGGGCTTACTCTAGTCTTCCCATATCCAGCTAACATGTATTCCACTATTGTCATTTAATATTTGCTTTCATCTGAACATCTTTGCAGCTTACAAAACTGTTAAATGTTTTAAGCATAAAAGCCTTTCTCCAAATCCTGTGTGCCTTGAAGTGTTCCCACTTCTATCTACCCTAATAACAAAAACTGTTACCTCTTGTTACTGATTTTTCTTTCTCATACCCTCAGGCCATCGCACTACAAAACCACCTCTGCAAATCACAGAGCTAAAGGGACCTTACATGTGTTTTCAACTGCAAACTGTTTATAGAAAAAAAGCTTGTATTTCAGAGAAGGATTCTGCTTGTAAAAAACGAGTCTGGACAGTTCCACTACAGCCCACTGCCTGAGCTGATTTCTTCATCTCCCAAAAAAGAATTTCGATATCCATGTAATAGTGGTTTTACGACCCCCGTACTTTGGCTCCATGGCTGCAGTGCATTGCCACTCAAACGGGCATATTTTTAATAGTGTTATAGTTCAGGTCAGAAGTGCACCTTTGGAACAGATTTTCTCATTATTGTTCCTTGCAGTGTCTTGTTCTTCATCACCAGCCAGGCTTGGAGCGCACCAGTATCATTCCTTTAGAAGGACAACATCACTCCTTTCACATGTCATCGCAACGTATTTTTGTTCAGCAAGCAGTGGGCATCCGGTCCATAGGGCCAAGCTGCTGGCAAAGAAAATCCTTCAAAATGCTCCCATGGTGGGCACCACCTCCTCGGCACAAGTTGCTCTGCTCTGAAGTCGTGCCTGGGTCAGGGTGGCACTGTCTGGTGCAGGGTCCCCACTGCCCAGTGGGCTGCAGGCAGCCAAGGCAGCCCCAGCTGCCCCCACCTCCTGCCAGGCTGTGCCATAAGGGGGTCAGCAGCACAGGTCAGAGCTGGTACCCAGCTCACCAGCTTCTTTTAGGTGTTCCCATTGTCCGTGGGAGCTGTTAACTTGGCAGCTGCCCACAAGAGGGATTTTGCACCTCACAGAGCTAGGTGAGCTTTTGTTGCTTTTATATATTTGCCTGATGTTTGTAAAGAGCTGTTCCTCCCGTTGTTGGATCTTGTTACAGTCGTGAGCTCAACTGCCAGTACTGGTCACACCAGTTGTCCTCCCAGAAGCACAGTGTGGGAGCTGTTTTGCAAGAGCTATGGGCTGAGCCTTTCAATAGCTATTTGTTTAATTGCTTAACCCTTTATTTAACACTGATTTATTATTTCCTCCTGAGAAGGAAATAGTCTTTAGCCAAGAAAATGATGATGTTTCTTGAGCAGTAAAAGTGAGATGCTGCACCAGCAGGAAAGCCAGGCATAAATGCATGACCTTTCTGTGAAGGTCCCAGATGGCAGGTATAACCAGGAAAAAGCATCCCAGTGTTTGCCAGGAGACCTGTAAGGTCTCCCCACCTGTAAGGGAGGCATTTCTCACCTTTCCAGGTCACCACTAGGTTCGGAGATGGTCTTGCCAAGAGCTCAACACCACTCACAGTAGGGATGAGAGCCAGTAAGGCACCTCCCCCCCCAACTTTTTGTACTCACAGAACAGCTTATGCTCATTATCACCTTCTTCAGTCATAACATCAGATTTCAAATGTCACTGTAGGATGGGATGTGCTTTCAGCATGAGTGACAGCAGGAAAACTAACTTAGTGACATTCTTCATCTGATTTATGCTGAGATGTCTCAGACACGTAAGGGCAGATGTAAACTATGATACATTTTCTCTGCCAGTAGTGCCCATATTTCACAGAGGCATGAATAAATAGACATTTCTAGATAAGAAGTGGAAAATTCTCTATCTCTCTGAAGTAGAGTACTGCTTCAATGCTATGCTCCAAGCCTTCCTTATCATTTGATTGTGTTGTTAGCGTTGTTGTAGTGCTGAAGGTTTAAACAGGAAAAAAAAAATTAACTTTGCATTTATTCTTTCCAGTAATCCTTCAAAATACTGCTCTGGGTTCAGAGACAAAGTTAGTGGGATTTACAGACCAGCTTACTGGCGCAACAGCAAGAAACCAATTTAGGTTAGCTCAGGCTAGGCTAGGCTAGGCTGGTGGAGCAGCAGGACAAATGGGGTGGAGGTATTTGGGGTCAGAAACTCCTTTCTCGGGAAGTGCAGTGTTTTTTCTGCTTAGTGGTGCAAACGGTGACGTCGTGGGGTGGGGGAGGAGGAAAGAGGAGGGGTGATTAACAAACAGTTGCTGCAGCTGTAGAGGAAAAAGGAGAAAGACCAGGAGCAGCAGCAGCGCGACCCCCACAGCAGGTAATGCCTCTGGGGAGCATGCGACCCACCCTGCTCAGTGCAAAAAAGAAGGGGACAGAGAAGTGGGGCGAGATGTGCCTGTGTGAGAAATGTACGTTTTGTGCTGCTGCTCTGTAGTGTTCTGCTGCCCGAGCTCTGCTGCTTGCAGCTGTCATCGGGGTGGGAAGGGGTCGAAGTTCAGACCAGTGTGACTGAAAAGGAAACCGTGGGGGTGGAAGGGCTTTTTTAGCAGACCTTTCCTGAAGGAGGAAAACCAGAAAGGAGCACTGCTGTCTGGTTTCAGTGCGAGTGTTGCTTCCTCATGTGTGGCCATCCACGGTGGGCACACGGGGAGGCAGCAACAGGTCTGAAGGAAGGGAAGTGCTTGGTTTATGCAGGCCTGGCTGGGACCCCCTATGAGAGGGACACGAGTGTGGCCTTCACCTTAGCACCTTGCAGGAGACAGTGCCACTGCTGTGCTACCTGTCACATTAGCTTGTGGTCCTGATTCCCTTCAGACACTGCAGGCACCTACCCCTGTGCTTACCTCAGGTGACAGCAACCACCTGAGGACCTTCATGCTAGAAGGAATAAAATGTAACAATTACATTTATGTGATTTTTCTGCCTGTGGCAATACGTCAGGCTGGCAGCTCTGGAGCCAGGATCAGTCCTCCAAGTGACACCAGCATGCTGTCCACCAGCACATCTCTATACTTCACTGGGAATATGGGCCCTTCATAAAGGCCAACAGAGTGAATACATTTCAGTAGTCCCCAGTACATTTTAAAGAAGATGAGTTCTAACATGCAACAGCTGCGTTTACAAATGTCGTCTTGCTTACACCCTGTTTAGCTGAGATTAATCAGCTTAAGAATTGTAAGACAACAATTTTCCGGCTAGCCAGTGGAGGAATAGTTAAGAAAATAAGCCCAAACCATTGAAAGACAAGTTCTGAGGGTCAGGGACCAATGCAGCAAACTAAAGTTCAGAAGAAATGAGAAACTATATGCTCAGCTTGCATCCCATGCAAAGCCCACGTGGCAGTATGAGTCCAAAGAGAATGGTGGAGGTGCTGACTGGAAAGCCTCAAGATTTCTGTAACTGTTCCTGTAACTTTCATACCCATTACAGTAATTCCTATCCATCCAGTGATAAGGCTGTCTCTTAAATCAGAACAGTGTATGTTCTTAATTTTTTGCCTTTTTGTAATGTACAGTGTCCCATGTTTTTCTTACCACAAGAGAGAACAAAGTGTCATTCAGTAATAATGCAGATGGGATCTGGATTCAGTATTTATAGAGCTCACTGGAATTTGGTACAATTCAGTTGTATCATACTTTTCCCAGAAGGAGTATTTATGGAATACATTCGTCTAGGTCCTCATATGTCTTATTTTCATAATACCAAAGGCTACTGCTTTCTCTTGGGAGGTAAATTATGCGAACAAATCTTTCTGTGCTTATGGATATGTTTGTATGAATAGTGGCCATCCTGCAAGACAGGAAGAGAGGAAGAAAGGCATTTTTTATGACCTCCCTAGGATAAACTTAGATTAAAAATTTAGAAGACCAGGTTAATTTAAATCAGTTTACAGAGGTGTGTATTGTTATTTATGGTTGTGGTCCCATAGTGGGAACGAAGTGTATGCATTTATCATATTTAGATGCTTCTAAACACTGTATTTTTTAATGCACAGATACAAATGAGACAAAATTTGATGGTAGAGATTTGATAGCACATACCATATGAATACACTGGATCAAGGGGCAATTTAAAGAGCTCTTGTTACTTATTAAGTTAATTGCTTAAGCACTGGAGATAAATTCTAGTACAAAATTCACAAATTCACTTCCCAAAAATGTAGGCAGTTCTTTTCATAGCTGGAGGACAATCAAGCCTCTTTCTCTGGAATGAATCAGAAAACAGGACATTTATGAAAAACGGAAATTAGGCATCTCAGGAGCCTATGAAGTTTTGCCAAAGGTCAGATAACCTATGAAAATTAGGTTAGAAGGGCTGCAAAGATTAATCTTCTCAAACAGGAGAAGATTCACTTTATTAAATGCAACTTAAAACAGAAGCTTGCAGAAAGACCAAGACCCTAATTTCATGTTTATGTGGAAAACCTGTAGAGCCGTTTGGTTAAAAAGGGGAAAGAGACAGATATCCTCCAGGATGCGTCAAATAAAAGCAGACGGAAATGTAGCTTTCTTTTCAATTTCTTCACCTACATTTTTATAAATACTTACAAATGCTGTCTGCTGGACACACCACAAATTATTTGCATTGTACTTTAAGCTGTCTTGAGTGCATGGTAGAGGCATGTCTTCAAGGAAGGACAGGATTTACATCACCCAGATGGAGAAATCCCAGAGCTGGTGCCTGTGGGAGTCCAAGGCCCTCAGCAGGGCTGCTGTGGGTGCAACAGCAAGCAGTCCTTTTAGTCTGGTCACACTATCAAGACAGAGCCAAGCCAAGGGGCTCAGGCTTGAATCCAGCACCCAACGAAGTGTCTTTGTGCACTCAACTTTTTCCTCTGGAGGCACAGGTCACCCTGATCACTGGAGGAAACTCAAGATAATTTTTCTGGGCATCTCCTAGGTATAGCAACAAAGGGAGCCTTTGATCCACTTGGGAGAATACTGTTTTGTGGCCACAGCCGGGCACAGTCAGTTTTCACTAATCTGTTTCTATTTCAGCTGTTTTCCTTTGATCTACTCAAATGTCCAAAGAGGGTGCAATTTCTACAGGTCAGAAAGTTTGAACACTGTAGTAAGTCATACAGTTTGCTGTACTATTTTCACCTCCACAGCTTTACCATGAACACCTACCTCTTCGTGTATGACTTGATGCAATTCTGTGGACATTCCTGGATATTTACAAACATGATCATCAGGTTCATGTCATTTGGAAAAGGTAGGATTCCTTCTTTGTTTTCCTTAAACATTTCAGAAGGCAGTAACACACAGTGACACCAAATTAGAGCTAAACTTAGGATTCTAGATATGCGTATGTCCAATACTGGGGCTAAAATTTCAATTAGAAAAACATTGTTTCTTCCATAAAAAGGATGAAGAAATTTCTCATACCTACATTCTGCTTGTACGACATCAGGAATGAAGTTCTTGTTTTCCTAATGAGCTTTAATATTCAGCAGCATCCTAGTAACTTTTGGCTTAGACATAGACCTAAATGTGAGTAGGTTCAGTCATTAGGGCGGAAGCCACTAGGAGGGAATATCTTTGTAGATATTGCATATCACTATCTCCAAAAGCATTACACGTTCTTCTCTTTCTGTTGCATGGGGTTAAGGCACAAAACCAGAAATGTAGAGACTAGAAATTTAAGATGATTTATAATCATGGACAGTAGGCACATAAAATACCTACCTTGTGGTCTATCTCTTTTCAGAAGATGTACAGATATAGGCAGGAATTCAACATCTCCTCATTGTTTAAGCATTCCTCATACATTTCCTCAATGCTTCCTCATATTTAGAAATATCCCAAACTGATATCCCTAAATCAACACATCCTGCACAGTGTTTGCCAATGCACCAAGTGTAGGGGATCCTCTTCTTTTCTCAACTTCCTGCCTCTGTATCAGTCATACACAGAGAGTGGACTGCCTCCTCCCCTCTATGAAGCTTTGTGTCACCCAAATGTTTGAGCTTTATTTCTTGTCATCTCCAGTGGTGATAGGGCAGAAGCAGACTCTAGCTGATTCAGACTTTTACTATGTAACCACCCTCTAATTTTCCTCTTCACTTTGTAGATTCACTGGCAGACACCTTTTACTCCCTAGGATTTGTGATGCGCCTTTGCCAGTTGTTATCTGTATTGGAGATCCTACACATACTCATTGGCATTGATAAAAGCTGCCTCTTCCCCAGGGTTTTGCAGGTATGTCTGTTTCTTGAGACCCTCCTTCCACAACCTATACGCTTGAGACATGGCAGCCCCTGGGGACATGCCCTTACTACCCTGAGGGGTCCACCTGCACACTTCCTTAAGGACCTTGGTCTGCTGACGGTTTCTTAACTGCAGGAAATGAGCCCTCAGAAGCGGGTTGGGAAAGAGCTGCTTTCAAATGAAACTGAGCAGTGAGTGCCCCGAGCTCAGCCCACAATAGCAGGGACCTGAGGAGAGGCCACATGCAGAAAAGGGGCAGACCCCATTTCTGCCATAGGTGGCTGAGGATACTACCTCCCCAGGCAGCCTGTTTACAGCCAGAAGACAGCATTTCAGAGCTGAAGTTTCAGTAGCTAATTCTTTTCCATGCCATTTACTCTCTGACAAGTGTGTATTTATTTTGAAGATAAGCACAATACAAAATTTTGTGGGGTAGCAAAGGGACGGAACTTGAGAAAACAACCAGCACAGCAAGCTTCCTGAAACAGGATTTGCTGGCAGACATGGCGTGTGAAAGGACTGGTAAAGACAGAGAAATTAAAGGACTGAATAAGGATTAATGCTAGGAGGGGAAAGAGGAGAATTGTCATATTCTTGCTGTAAGGGTCTCTACCCTCTCAAACACAGATATGGGCAAATTGTGGTAACATCCAGAGGTTTCGATGCTGTTAAGGGTTTTAAGGGCATATAGAATCATAGAATAGAATCATAGAATAGTTAGGGTTTGAAAGGACCTTAAGATCATCAAGTTCCAACCCCCCTGCCAAGGGCAGGGACACCTCACTCTAAAGCGTATCACCCAAGGCCTCGCTCAACCTGGCCTTGAACACTGCCAGGGATGGAGCATTCACAACCTCCCTGGGCAACCTATTCCAGGCCTCACCACCCTCACAGGAAAGAATTTCCTCCTTATATCCAATCTAAACTTCCCCTGTTTAAGTTTTAACCCATTACCCCTTGTCCTACCTCTACAGTCCCTAATGAAGAGTCCATCCCCAGCATCCCTATAGGCCCCCTTCAGATACTGGAAGGCTGCTATGAGGTCTCCACGCAGCCTTCTCTTCTCCAGGCTGAACAGCCCCAACTTTCTCAGCCAATCTTCATATGGGAGGTGCTCCAGTCCCCTGATCATCCTCGTGGCCCTCCTCTGGACTTGTTCCAACAGATCCATGTCTTTCTTATGTTGAGGACACCAGAACTGCACACAATACTACAAGTGAGGTCTCACGAGAGCAGAGTAAAGGGGCAGGATCACCTCCTTCGACCTGCTGGTCACACTCTTTCTGATGCAGTCCAGGATATGGTTGGCTTTCTGGGCTGCAAGTGCACACTGCTCATCCACCAGCACCCCCAAGTCCTTCTCTTCAGGGCTGCTCTGAATCTCTTTTCTGCCCAACCTGTAGCTGTGCCTGGGATTGCTCCCACCCACGTGTAGGACCTTGCACTTGGCATGGTTAAACTTCATGAGGTTGGCATCAGCCCACCTCACAAGTGTGTCAAGGTCCCTCTGGATGGCATTCCTTCCCTCCAGCGTATCAACCGAACCACACAGCTTGGTGTCATCGGCAAACTTGCTGAGGGCGCATTCAATCCCACTGTCCATGTCAGCAACAAAGATGTTAAGACCTGTCCCAACACCGATCCCTGAGGGACACCACTCATTACTGGTCTCCAGCTGGATATTGAGCCATTGACCACAACTCTTTGTGTGCAGCCATCCAGCCAGTTCTTCATCCACCAAGTTGGTCCATCCATCAAATTGATATCTCTCCAATTTAGAGACAAGGATGTCGTGTGGGACAGTGTCGAACGCTTTGCACAAGTCCAGGTAGATGATGTCGTCTGCTCTACCGCTGTCCATCAGTTCCTTAGCCCCATCATAGAAGGACACCAGATTGGTCAGGCAGGATTTCCCCTTAGTGAAGCCATGCTGGCTGTCACCAAGCACCTTGTTGGTTTTCATGTGCCTTAGCATGCCTTCCAGGAGAATCTGCTCCAAGATTTTGCCAGGCACAGAGGTGAGACTGACTGGTCTGGAATTCCCTGGCTCATCCATTTTCCCCTTCTTGAAAATGGGGGTTATATTTCCCTTTTTCCAGTCATTGTGATCTTCACCTGACTGCCATGATTTTTCAAATATGATGGCCAGCGGCTTAGCAACTTCATTCACCAGCTCCTTCAGGACCCGTGGATGGATTTCATCAGGACCCATGGACTTGTGCATGTTCAGATTTTTAAGATGGTCTCGAACCAATTACTTTCCTACAGTGGGCCCAAGGTCTCCATTCTCACAGTCCCTGCGGCTGCCTTCCACGACTTGGGTGGTGCGGTCAGAGCCTTTGCTAGAGAAGACCGAGGCAAAGAAGTCATTCAGAACCTCAGCCTTCTCCAAATCCTGTGTAGCTAGTTCACCTGAGAGCTTCCTGAGGGGGCCTACATTCTCCCTAATCTGTTTTTTATTTGCTATGTACCTGTAGAATCCCTTCCTGTTATCCTTAATATCCCTAGCCATGTTTAATTCTAACTGGGCCTTAGCTTTCATAACCTGGTCCCTAGCTTCCCAGACAACATCCCTGTACTCTTCCCAGGCCGCCTGTCCTTGCTTCCACTTTCTATAAAACTCTTTTTTCATTTTAATTTTCCTCAGCAGCTGTTTATCCATCCAAGGAGGTCTCCTGGTCCTCCTGCTGCACTTCCTTCTGGTTGGGATGCAACACTCCTGAGCTTGTAGCAGGTGATCCTTGAAGACCAACCAAGAGTCTTGAGCCCCCCTGCCCTCTAGGGCTATATCCCATGGAACCTTACTAAGCAGGCTCCTGAAGAGGCCAAAGTCTGCTCTTTTGAAGTCTAGGGCAGTGAGCTTGCTGCACGCTCTTCTCACTGTCCTAAGGATCTCAAATTCAACCATCTCATGGTTGCTGCATCCAAGGCTGCCCTGCAGTGCCACATTTCCAACGAGCCCTTCCCTGTTGGTGAGCACGAGGTCAAGCATGGCACCTCTCCTTGTCGGCTCCTCTATTACTTGCAGAAGGAAGTTGTCTTCCACACAATCGAGGAACCTCCTGGATTGCTTGTGCCGGGCCGTACCGTCATTCCAACAGATGTCAGGGTGGTTGAAGTCACCCATGAGAACGAGGGCCTGTGAGCGTGAGGCTTTTCCTATCTGCCTATAGAGTGCTTCATCCGCAGATTCCTCTTGATCAGGTGGTCTATAACAGATCCCCACAGTAATGTCTCCCATCACTGTTTTCCCTTTAACCCTGACCCACAAGCTCTCTGTTAACTGCTCACCAGTCCCCAGACAGAGTTCCATACTCTCCAGCCTATCCCTAACATAAAGGGCAACTCCCCCTCCGCACCTGCCAGGCCTGTCTTTTCTAAAGAGTCTGTAACCTTCCATTCCAACACTCCAGTCATAGGAGCCATCCCACCATGTTTCTGTGAGGCTTGTCATACCCCCGTAGACGAGCACACATCTCTAATTCCTCTTGTTTGTTACCCATGCTATGGGCATTTGCATAGAGGCACCTGAGCCGAGCTCCAAATGAAGCCGGCTCATTGGCTGGAGCAGCCGGAATATCTCTGCATTGGTCCAAGCATTTATTATAGGTGCTGGCAACTGACTGGGAGTGTTGGGATGGAATGATGCCCCCCTCCCCCAACACATCTAGTTTAAAGCCTCCTTAACCAGTCTGGCAAGCCTCCTACCAAAACTGCCCTTCCCCTTCTTTATCGGACCAGCTCCACCAGCCCCCGCTAGACCTGGCCTACAAACTTGGGTCCCATGTTCAAGACACCCAAACCCCTGACTGTGACACCACCCTTTTAACCATTTATTAACCTGGCTAATCCTCCTAGCTTTTTTTAGGTCCTCCCCTGTATCCTGGAGAATAGATGAGAAGACAATCTGAGCTCCAGAGCCCTTAACCACCTTTCCCAGGTCTCCGCATATGTTCAGCTGTAGGCAGAAAACCAGCCAAAAAATCAGAAAACAAGATGAATCTTGGGCATTTTCCTTACCACATTTTGTTTTCTGTTGGGACTTTTATCTCAGGTTTTGGTAAGTTTTAATGCATTGGAAAAAGTAAAAATGTCAACTTGAGTTTACCTTCAAACCTTTCCACTCCTTAGTATTTGAATAATGGTGAAACTGGTATTGCTCTCAGCGTCAGAAGGTAGAAGACTAAGAGTAGTTAGTTATGTTTTTAGTTTTCTGGATAGCCCATTTTTGTCAAATGACATGGTGAAGATGTTCCTCTTTTTAAATCTCCATTAGAAACTGAGTAATACAGATCTCTGATCTTTATGCTGCTCACTAAGTATGGTAGCAAATTCGTTAAAATGCAGTCAACTATTTTTCCCTGCCTAAATCTACATGCTTTTACACTAACTGGTGGGGGTGGGGGTGGTGGGGTGGGTGTGTGCGCATCCTACTGAATGTGCCATGTAGCAAATCTCACATCATCTCTTGCAGGGAACAGCAGCCTCCTAATGCCAATAGTCACTAAAGCAAGGCTTGTCCTGGCAAAGGTGACACATTCCTCAACTCTTACACAGTCCATTCCTTTCCTACCCATCCCAACAGGAGAAGAGATCAGGGAAGCCTACACAAAACCTGCTCTGTGTTGCCACAAAAGACACTAGATCTGAAATGGATGTTTCTGAGCAAGATAACTGTGACCATTTTTGGCCAGTGCAGTTACTGCAGTGCTCTCTGGGGCAGCACGAAGAAGGTGGGTCAGGGAGCAATATGGCACAGTGACTCCAAACATTTGTCTCACAATGATAGATTTTGATCCTTACATGGTTCTTTTCCCAAGTGTTCTCTCACTGCAAACACTCTTACATTCATGTTAGCAGTAGTCTTGTGCTGCCCAAGCTAGGTACAAGCTCTTTGGTGTAGACTGTTTTCACTTGTGTTGCCCTGCTTTTGCTGTGGGAGTACAGGTTAAGCAGCTGTATGCCAGCAGTACTCCCATGTGCCTTGCCACGCTGTCTTCCCTGCCTCTTAGGAAAAAAGGAGATACATTTTCCACAATGAACTGAGGAAAGACAGAGATGCTTATTTTATTGTAGCCTACGGGCTATTGCATGTAGTCAGGGTGCTGGTAAAGCTGCAAGAATTTGATAGTGGCTACCCTCTTCTGTGTTCCCACCACCTGTTCTGACTCTTAAGCTTAAAACATATCCCTAGATGCATCCTTCAGGCCATATACACACATGCATATCCACAGTGAAGTTCATCTCAGGATCTCTAGGGTGAGAGAACTGGTGGCTCTGGCAGTGTCAAGGAAGCACATGGATAGAAATAAGGCCACCTTGAACAAAACAAACTCTGAAAGCACTGCTGTGGTGGCCAGCTGTTTGGGCTGTTTGGCCGGGTGTGGGCATTACAGCAGAGATAAGATTTAAGTATTCTGAATGAAGGATTTCTGCCTAATAACCTATTCATCATGATTTAGTAGCATTTACAAGAAACACTGTGAGATACATGTTACAGACAGTGGAAAAGTAAACTCCAGAGGCGTTCTCTAGAAAAACCCATTTAGTATGGCCTCATTGAAGGACAAAGCCTCAGGCCACCATGCATCTCAGGAGGGGTAGGCAGGCCAAGGAAAAGTCACACCAAGAAAGAAAGATGAGTCCTGTGTGATAGTGCTCTGGAGGAAGGGAAGGCAAGGGAGGGTCACAGAGCTTGTACAAATGGATGTCCCTCTGGGCATTTCCAGCTTGAATGAGAGTAGGACAGGAGAATGTGTCACATGTCAGCACTTTTCTTAAACATTCACTAAATCAAAGGGTTGTGTAGGGGTTTCAGGCACCAGGTTCGATACTGCACTGTCATGGTTATTAAAAACCCAAAGTGAAAGTGCTGCCTGCTTCTGCCCTAACTTCAGTTAGGCTGATTTGCTCTGTTTCACTTGCTTGAAATGCCCAGGCTGCCTTGCAAAAATTTATGTCACTTTAGAGAACTGTCTGTATCCTTTCAGAAACCAGTGCTGGGAGAGGAAGGAAATTCCAGTTTGACTTTAACAAAAGAACAAGAAGGAATGAAAAATGAAACCACTGTATTTACACTTTGTGAGGTGTCAGCATATACTTCCTTTTTATGAACATGAAAACACAGGACTTCTAGTTTTGTGTGGTTTTTTTCTTTTTCTTTTTTTTAAGCAAGAGAGTATCAGCAGAGAATGCTGTATTTTCATTCATGCAAGAACAGATGATCCATAGAAGAAATGAGCTGTGACTGATTTTATGCTTTTTTTCATATATATGCTTTTCTTGTATCTATGTATGTGTGTATACACACATGTATACATATTCATACACATATATACATGTGTGTATATTGATATGTGTACATGACTACGTGTGTATATGTATACAGATACATGTATATATGTGTATATGTGCACAATATCAACAGCCATTTACTGGAATTTCCTCTTCTTCAGGTAGCACCCTGTCTTGTCACTTGTTGAAAAGGTCCCCAGCCTATGTCTAAACCCTGCATCTACCTTGGGTTTGTGTGGGGTACCTGAAGATGTGAGTGCTATGAGCACAATGTCTTGAAGGGGAATAAAGGCATGCAAGCAAGCAGGCAATAGAAGAGGTAGGATGCTACTGTCTGTCCTCCTGAGGACATCACAATTGGTCTGAGGAGCCAGTCTGTGTCCTGCCCTGCAGGTGTGCTCCGGAGCAAGACCACAGGCAGATTTCAAGTCCAGTTCCCTACTCTTGCAGGTGCTTAACCTCCTTTACACAATCAGTAACCAGACTTCCATCATCTGCAACTAGTGGGGCTGAGTGCTCCATTTCCCAAACATGAACCTTTGACGGAGGAGATCTGCTGAACCCCAGCTAGGTGATACTCACTGCCCCTTGTGCATCTGCTTATGCCGTGGGAAGAGAAAGAAATCCACAGCCACTCCATGAGGCTGAACTGTGGCTCGTCCTTTTGAAATGTGAGACAGTGGCTACTGATCTACTGCTTATCCTTTTACTCCACTGAAACGGGATCAGCTCTTGATCATGTGGCCCATGTCGCTTTCTAGCACTTTTCCACCCAGCCACCTCTTGAAGAGCAAGTAGCTGTTTGGAAAATCTGCCTGCCAGCTCTCACATCTGAAAACACCTTTTCATTATCATGGTGAAGCTTTGGTCTCTAAGTGAGACAACTCCCTGAAATACCTCTTAATAACTATATTTCAGAACTCTCTCTCCACATCCCAGTCTGATTTCAGGGTTGGTAACAAAATGCCCACGACCACCAACACTGCACTCCTTTAACACCCTTCACCAAATTGATTTTAGTTCAGGTTCTATTTTCTACGTTCTCTCAACACAATCCCACTCAATGCTCATGCTGTTTTTCCCTTTGTTTTGATTTCCCTCTTGTGATGACTGACCCACCGTACTTCTTCTAAGTCGGTTGTATCTGGTTTCAGATCCTGCATCAACACTTACAGTTCTCCCAGTTTCTCCTTGGCAGCAGCGTACAAACACAGGACTTAGTACCCCGCACTCTCCATTTCCTGGCCTGTCTGCACAGAAGCCTCTCAACATCTGACCTTCTTAGAAATCAGTTCCTCAGTTAGGGACCAATGGGATCAGCAGCACAAGAGGACAGTCAGGGTAGGGTGAGAGGCAGCAAAACCATTTTTATCTGTTGTGGCCTTTCAGTGCTTTTCAAGATGAGGAACTAGATCCCTGGGCATGGAAAATTGCTCTCACGTAATTTTGCTGAATAGTGAAGTGATGATTGCTTTATCCAACAGATGTGGTCTGGAAAAAAAAAAAAAGTAATGAAAGAAATCTCTAGCCACAATATCCCATGCAGGAACTGGTAAAAATTATGTAGCAAAACTGTTTAAGGTAGGACTAAGAGGAAGGGGGAAACCAGTGAAGGAGAATGGCTGAGCTGATCAAAACCACCTTGGCAATCTGTTTTTATTTCACAACCCTTCACTGACTTGACATCTCAAACCATAAAATCATTAAACCTAAGGTACCTTATGGAAGAGATACCAGCGTACAAAACCCCAAACAAACCAGAACAATGAAGCTATACTGGTTCACACCAACTGAAGAGATGCATGTTTTCTTTTCCAGCACTTGCAAATAGAGTGTAAATTAGAGTGAACTGGTACTCTTCTGGGAGAGTTTCACAAGCAACTCTTGGCAGTACTGAACACTACAGATGTGTTTATTTTACAGGGCAGGGTTTAGAAAACTTGTCCAGGAAGGACAAACTTGTTTTTAATTTCTCGAGCTCTAATATTGCCAAAGTATTTTTGTTTTTAAGCTGAAGATACTGTGTGTTTAATCCGCTCTTATATCTTCTGATTTGTAAAGGCATAGCTTGTGGGTCAGGCTAAGTTCAACTGCTAGAAAAATATTATGACTAATATTATGGCAATAATTCACATAAACTATAAACTTAAACCCACTTCTCCTAGCCAGGAACATGAAGAAAAGAAAAATAAAGTATTCCTTCTCCTTTCTGCAAATCTTACATGAGAGAGACACACTGGGTTGCAGATCTTGAAGCTGTGGCAAACAGAGATAGAACTGTGAGATTAGCATTGTCTGGCATTCTACGCACCCAAGGGCTCTCTGTATCCCACACCCTGCCATGCAGCCTACAAGGAAGTTTGTTTCCATGTGGGGGTAAGTTTCTTTGCTTGTAGGCTGCAGTCCTTGCTCCCATAACCTTAGCCAGCTCATCCACAGGTTTCCTGGGCTACAAACCCAAGTCGTCCCTATTGGCAAGCAAACCTCCACCCTTACCATAGCAGACCTTTGATGCTGCAGCCAACAGTTTCCAGTTGCCTGAGCTGCAGGCCAACAGGGTCTGGAACAAAAGCAGGCCAAGAAGCAAAGTGCTGAAGCATTTGTGCAAAGAAAACGGATTCAACCCGTGCCCTGCTATTCAATGAGAGCTACAAAAGGTGCTACCTGAATTCACAACTCTTTTTTTTCTTTTCAGATCACAGAGAGAATAATTGTTTTATTTGTTGTGATCAACAGTCAGGAAGAAGTTCAAGGGAAGTACATCGTGTGCATTTTATTTTTTCTTTGGAATGTATTAGATGTGGTCAGGTAAGAAGTACATGGCAAAGCCATGAGGGAAAAATGGGTCATTCTTGTGAGCAGAACCTCACCTCCACTGTGCTGCAGGCTCAGTTCATTATTTCAAAACTGGCAGGAAAGCATATTATCTATTTTAAATAAAGGCTATTTACTGATGTTTACAAAAACCCACATAGCTGAGAGGCAGAGCCTTACTTACAGGCTTCCATTGCATTAATATGTGTAGCTCAAAGGCTTTGATCTTTTTAACAGAAATTTAGAAGGAAGTCACAACTACCGCCCAGGGAACAGCAATTTCCAAATTAATTTACAAAGCTAACACATTTATTATTTATTTGCTTTTTAACACCTCACTTGGATCCAAGATTGATAGCAGAGGCAGCAGCAGCAGAACTTCTTACCAAGACAGAGACTATTATGGCTTATTTGCATTGTGCTGTACAAAAAGTCGAGAGCTCCTGCCGCAGAGACTGAGTATTTTGGTGTACCAAGGCACATATCACACTGCAGGGACACAAACATGAGGCAGAATGAACACGAATACAATTCAGGACTTCTATCTCACAAATTTTGTATGGTGAAAATTCCGCATTACTGACTCTTGCATCAATATCTGAAGTCAGTAACGTTTCTCAAGTGTAACTTAAGCTCTACTGCCCTCATTTTGTAAACTCACAGCAGGGAAGACATACAGAATTAGGAAACATTTTAACAAGACATAGCCCTCATGGTAACCTCTGTAATTTCTTTTTTCTTTATCTTCTTTCTTTCTGCTCAGATAGTAGTTTCTTCTATTTTACATACATTGCTTTGGGCAGTGACTGGGGACTATGGATTCAGGCAGCTTAGGAAGTATATGATATAAAAGAGATCTGAAAAAGGAAAATGCCAGAATTAATAAGATAGGCTTTACATCAACTTCAAAGTATAGGTATTACATGTGTTAAGAAACCACTACTTCTATTAATTATTTGGATCATTGCTCCATCCTATTTCTTTTTTGAGTTTGTAAAGCTGAAGGAGTAGAACTCAACTGAAAGATTTCTGTGCAGCTGGGGAGAGTCCAAAAGCATAAACAAGATTGGCTGCAAAGTCCTCTCAGAATAGTCTGTTGCGTCCAATGCACTACTGTTGTCTATCTTTGTTGAAGTACACAGTCTGGAATCATAGCAATAACACCAGCCGTTTAATAAGCAAGATACTGTGGTCTGCAGCAGCAAATGCCCAATGCAAATACATGGTACAACTCACACGAATTTAGAATTCTTACCTGATTTATTTTACAGTATCTGTGCCATGTCCTAGCATCAATAAGGGGCAGTCATGTCTTAAAACATACAGGAATTCATCCCAACCGTTAGCCAACTAGTTTTGAAGTATTACAAGCTCCTCCACATAATACCCTGTGCATTATGGCTAATGATATAGTGACAGCAAATTCTGCAAGGTTTTCTATCTATATCTGATCTTTCCTGCTTATACCATAAGCAGCCAAAGAATGTATCGAGAGGAAGTAGCTGTATCCCTTTTGCACTGGGTTGAGATTGTGCCTCAAAAGCAATAATAAAAAAATTGAGGCACTCCTGAGGTTGCAGAGGGCAAACTTGCGAGTAGATGGTACATTTATAGCCCATCAAACTCCTCTCAGTCCAGGTATGATGCAGAATTATACAAATGAATTAATAAGAAGGGAATACAGGAAGTTTTGTTTAATGCTGGTTCCATCTGCTAGAAACACTCCTGGCTAACAGTGTCGTAAAAATTCTTATTTCCACCTTTCTAGCAAGACCACAGGCCAAAAGCCTTTTAGCTGACAAAAAATGTGATCAAACCTCCACTGCTCCGGTGTTTGGAAAGCTGCTGCACCAGTTTGAGATCAAACAAGCTGGCATTAGCTCACCTTGTAGAATGAAGTCCTAGGCATTTTGGCCTCCCAGTGAACAACAGTAACAGCAGAGTGAAACACTGCAATACACCGGAGCGCAGTTGCTTTCTTTTGCACCTACTAACCATTCTGAAGTCCAAGGGAGGGGCATCCATACCACAGAACATTAAGTACCTGCAATTACATTTACTGTTCAGCCTTCTCCAGTAGTGCTTTATGTAGTTCAGCAGTCGTAAATCAGCATATTCTCAGTCCCAAGCAACAGTTGGATTCTGCGTGCCCCTCTCAGTTGTAATATTCCCATCTGAAATCCATTTTTCTGATGGACCAATATAAAATGACACTGGTTTCTGATAGAACCTTCCAGTTAGCAGGCTGTTCCTCTGTCTACCTGCTAGCACCGTAGACAAACCCTTCTGGAACAATGTACCATCTACTTCCAGCCATTGGTTAGAGCCTGAACAGAACTGTTGCAGTATTGATCTGAAATGCTCTCAGATCAGCAGCTCCAAGTTCTTCTGCAATTCCCCTGGATTGTTCAATACTATATCTTTATTTTAAAGACACAATCATTCCCTCTAAACTCATCTGCTGTTCCTCTTGCATCAGGTACACTTACAACATGCTAGCAAGGATGGGAATATACTACCTACCACTGACATGGCTCAACTTCTCACTGTGTATCCTGCTCTATCCTCTTTCAGTTCTGGCTAAAGGTAAGGAGATCGGAAAGGTACCAACAGTGTGCTTCCTTAATTTTCTTCACCAAAATATGATCAGTTCAATTGTCATTTGTGCTTAAGATATTTTTATTTTTTATTGCCAAAGTTGGCATAAATGTTTATATACTCTCAACCTGTATGTCACCTACCTTCCTCTTTTCTGTACTTCTTCCTTTAATAGGGGTACTCTGGGGCTTGCATGTCTTTGTTTTGTTTTGCTTTTCCTTCAAACAAAATGGGAGAACATTAGAAACATGGATTCCCCTATTCCAGACTGACCATGTTAGACAGCAAGTCCCAAAGCTGCCTTTTCCCTGAGTTTGACCTTACTGGCACAGGCCATACTTTTATGTATATGAGACTGAAAACATGCTGATTTATGACTGCTGAACTACCTAAAGCAGCTTATCATGCTTACAACAGGAAACGTGCCCACTGAGATCATGCTGAAAGATCACACTCTGTGCAACAACAGGAGTGACAGAATTGTTATGGAATAGGAAATACTTGATGATTTTAGTATAAAGAGCAGTCAGAACCTCAGACCTACAAAGCTGAAAGAGAAAACAAGCATATGCATACAAATGGCATGGTAACTTTGGCATATAATATAGCTAGCTATGCCTTAAAGGTAACTGACTTTTACATGAAACTTTCTGATGATCTTCCTTCTCCTTTTGACTAAATATTTACCATGTTATTTTACAGCACTTGCAATTTGTGTATCACTGCCTTATTTTGAATCCTTTGGCACATACTCCATGAAGCTACTATTTCCATTTGCCTTCTCAATCTACTTCCCCTATATTCTGAAAGCATATCTGCTGGTGCTCTTTATAGGTAAGTATCTCATCTTCCAGCAAGCTGTGTTTCAGCACAACTTGGATGCCTATGGCAACAACAAAAAAATCAGATCAGTAAAGATTCTTTCACAAACACTAACTCTCTGCCACATCTCCTGAACACTACTGCAGGAAGGCTCATCACCAAGTGTTTTGATTTCTGATGTCATAAAAATACAAAACAAAAATATAAAAATTGCCTTTTGTTTATATCAATTTCCATCTGATCATACCTTCATTCTGTGCAACCCCTCCTCACTCATTCCTTTGAGCTGGTATGAGAAGTTGTATCTAAAATGAAGACTTCTACAGGTTGCTTATTGAAAGTGGTGAAAAGAAGAGCCACCCTAAAACCTGCATGTAAATAGACCCTTCTCAACAAACTGCTTTTGAAAATTTTGAACTGAATTTGGCTGCATTACAGCCATGTCTTCATTCTGTCATTGGCTTTAAGACCAATTTGAAGGATCTCGTCTTTGTGATACAGTGCTCTGTAAGTCATTTAAGGAACTATGCAAGTTGCCAGATGAAGGCTTATACTGTTCCTCCTGCATTAATTGAAGACACTTTGGACTCTACTCCCTAGTTCTTACAATGTTTTGTGTTTTGATTCAGGTATGTGCTTTGTCATCCAGAACCTCTTCTCTGAAAGGAAGGCACACCTAGGGACAGGCAACATCAAAAAGAAAAGAAGCTAAGTTGATAAGTTGTTTGGAAATAATTAGTATATTCCCAGTGGGCTGCTGCACATCATACATTAAAAAGAAGTTAGGCAAAGATTTCAGATGCAAAACTCCTGTTTGCATGTTCATCAACTTGTTATTGAACAAGCACAGAATTTTCAGAAAAGGCATCTATCTTTAAGGCATCTCAGAAATAGAACATCTCAAAATAATGAGTTACTTTTTACAGTTTTGGTTTCAAATGCAAGAAATGCTTTTGAATGGATATAAAAAATTAATATATTTTTTCTAACGTATTAGAGAACTCTGAAAAAGACAAAAGAGCACCTCCACTCACAATCACGCTAACAACCCTGACGTTGGCGTTAGCTCTTGCCTCATTAGCAACAGATATTCTGTAATGACAATACCATTTAATCTATAAGATTATTTTATATTCAGCCAACATGTATGTGCCTTATAAATATAAATGCTAAACTAGCTAGAACTGGAATCTCTCAAGGAGCCAAAGCTGGAAACTTTGCAACCTATGCAATTCACATGCTAAATAGTCCCAGGCATTCACAAAGGATCCCTCACATTCTGGCCCAACCTCCACTTCGGCAAACAAGATTACAGAAAATCCAGCTAAACCACAAAGGCAAGTGATCAAGTACTCATGTACTATATATTCTAGGGGATATTTAAGGCTCGAACTAAAAACTTATAACTGTGTGTCTGGCAGACGTTAGGAATCTCTTTCCCACACTGATCTTCTCCCATGCTGAACAGCAGACAGATATGCAAAAGAAATGTGATGTTAGGCCAAATACATGTTATTTAAGGGGAAGTGAATGACTACCAGAAGCCAAATGCAAAATTCTAATCATTTTACTCAAGTGCATTGCTCCTCATACTTCTGTAGGATTATCTGTGAGAATGCAACTAGAACACAGTCACTTCAAAGACTGAGGAATGAAGAATATGGACAGCAACCAAGTGGACTGGCAAAAATGGACAAATAATTGCTTTGAGCTGGCAGTGGCTTTTCTGATGTTTCATCCATATTGATGACCACCTACATTTGAATTCAAGCAGGTGAGGGAGGAAAGCGAGTTTATTTTTTTTTTTCAAGCATGACTGAAAACTGTGGGAGAGAAAAGACTATTGTTGAAGGGAAGAAAATACTTAAGGGGAAATGAACACTACCACAAAAGAGAGTTTGCGTGCATGACTTTCTAAACCAGACAGCCTAAGAGGACATATTAGGAAGGAGTGAAGCTGAACTAGTTTCTTATGAAAGGTCACCTGTAATTTTTATTTATTTATTTAATATATGTGGCAGGCAGTGTGTTCAGACTGTTGTGACCAATGGAGTACTTGCAGACCTTATGGAACAGTAGAGGGTAAACCCTAGATTTTCATTATTTTTTTTTCCTGGAAAGCATTACAAACAAAGGTAGGACTTAGGAACTCATTAGAGAAACAGAAGTACTTCCACTTTGGACTTCTGTATGACCCAAACTGATTTAAGTGTGGACTATATGAAGAAACACACAGAGCAGCTGCACTTCAAATTATATAACATGTAAAGGCCAAACAAGGACATTTTTCCCCTTGGAAATTTAATCTAATGTGTTTATCATCAAACTGCCTGGAGTTAGCATACCTTCTTAGAGGAAACATGGCATTTGCTAGTGTATTGGGTCTATGTGGCAAGGCTTTGGCAGTGGGGAAGCTGCAGTGAGAGCCTCAGTGAGAAGCCAAGGGCTTCACCCATGCCAGACATAGCTAGCTCCAGCTAGCTCCAAAACGGAGCAACTATGGGACACTGCCAAGAGAAACTGCAGAGCTGATGGCAGCTCTGTGAAATCATTCTTAATAAAAGGTAAAAAAAATACTATGTGTAGCTGTGAGACAGAAGAATAAGGAAATTGTGAGACACCAAGGTCAGTGGGGAAAGAGGTGGTGCTCTAGGCACTGCAGTAGATGCCCCTGCGGTCCATGGAGAAGACCAAGACGGAGCAGATGGAACCCTGTGCTGCAGCAGGTGGATGTGCTCTGAAGGAAGTTGCAGCATGAAGAGGCCAAACAGGAGCAAGTTCCTGGCAGGAACAGTTCAGAGCTGCAACCTGTGAGAAGAAATTATGCTGGGGCAGTTCATGAAGGACTGTATACCACGGGAGGGACCCCATGCTGGAGCAGGGGAGCAACATGAAGAGGAACGAGCAGCAGAGATGAATGTTTATGAACTGACTGTAATCCACATCCCCTACCCACCCTGCACTGCCTGGGGAGGTAAGAGGTAGAAGAGTCGGGAATGAAGGAGTAAAGTTGAGCCTAGGAAGAAGAGTTGGGTGGAAGAAAGTTGTTTTCAGTTTCATTTTTGTTTCTTACCATCCTACTCTACTTTGAATTGGCAATAAATTACTCTTCCACAAGTAAAGTCCAGTTTTGTGAGAGTAAATGGCAAATAACCTCCCCGTCTTTATCATGACCCATGAGCTACCTCAACCTAAATTCTCCCCGTCCTGTTGAGGAGGCAGAGAGAGGACCTGAATGGGCATCTGGCAGCCATCCAAGGTCAAAGGTACCACAGATATTTGTATTAAGTCATATTTATGCATTTATGTTAAAAAAAAAAATACCAGTATGTGGTGCTCCCCCTGTGCACTGATTCTCACAACTGGCTGAAACACTGGAAGGAGAGATATTCTTTAAAATTCACTATGGGGAGGACCCCCAAACCTAAACTGCAGGCAAACAGCATGAAGTTAGGGACAGAAGACTTTCCCACCCCCTTCTGGCACAGAGGTAAACTTGCAGCAGGCAACTGGGAGATCTAGGGAATCAGCCTTCCATGTGTGACCACAGCAGGCTACTACCTACAGGTCCTTACCTTACACCTTACCTTAGTTATTGGAAAAGCTCAGGACTGGACAGGAAAATGTGTGCTTAAGAAGTTGCCCAAGTCTTTCCACCTTTGGGGATTTAAACCTTTATTAAAATTTCTATGGGTCTTGAGAACCCAGATCATCTCCATTTAGATCTTCTGATACTGGAATCAAAAGTAAGTGTTGTTCTTACATATCTACATAAAGATAGGCAAAAGTATGTACTGTATAGGCAAGGATGAAAAAACATCACTAACAAAGTGATATATAATTGAAAGTGGTTAGACAATCTCATTAGGAGCATCTTACGTAGTCAGAAGAGTATTTGACTACATTTGTCTGAAATGTAAAACCCCACTAGTTTTAGTAGAGCTTATGTACTATGAGACAGAATTCATAAAACATGCACATGAAACACATACAGTGTGGAAAAGAATTACACATAACTGCTAAGGATAGGAAAAAAAAAATAAATCCCTTCTGTTTGCCCACAGAACAGCTATGCTGGAATTACAAGAACATGTCGTACAAGGTCTTCACCACCAGCTTTCCTTTGCTGCTTTTCCACTCATCTACAATGCAATAGCAACTAATTTGCCCTCTTCAGTCCTTGAACTGTCTCCAGAGCAACATGCTATTCTGAAAGATCACCTAGAAGTAAGTCTTGTTTGTCCAGCACTAGCACACAACAGAAGGAATACTCTCTCCATCACAGTTCATCTGTATACTTGCAGGTACAGCAGCCCAATAGGAATGGAAGTATAGGGTGAAATGATTTACAATGAGGACCCAACAGCCAACTTACCTGCCTTTTAGAGGGTTTTACTTCACGTCACCTCTACTTTATTTCTATGGGCTGAATGCACAGAGCTGTAGAGTACACTAGAATACTCAGTACAGAATAGCTCCATTTGGAAGGGACATACAGTATCTCCTTTGTTTTCCACCCCCCTCATCCTCACCGGAGGCTCCCAACCACATTACCCATAACTGTAAAGGCTGTACAGTCAAAGCTCTCCCTAACAGTGCAGCTCCTTCACCTTGCCTGCCCTGCTCATCCCTGCTGAACAGCTGCAGCCCTGATCTCAGCACTCCAGTCATGGGATTCATCCCACCAAGTCTCACCAGTGACATCGCAGCTGTGGGAACTGACCAGCGCTTCCAGTTCATGTTGTTTCTCATACTCTGTGCATTGGTGTACAAGCATTTCACTTATGCTCCTGAACCACAGTGCTCCCTGGAAATGCGTTAGCATTGCCACCTTCTGGTGGTGCTATGACATCTCTTGGCCTACCATCTGTAAGCCAAGATATGTAATACCTACTGTGTATCAGTATAGTTTAACTTGGAGGTTTACATACTGTTCCGCTATGCAAACTAAAACACAGCATGTGTGCATTACCCAGAGATTATCTTTAAAATAAGGCAAATTTTAAAGTTAATTAAAAGGCTAACACACATGCAAGCTCAGGTTACTAATGGTGTAAGCTAGCCTGAAACAGTGCACCAGAGATGGCACAATGAAAATGTGACATATTTGGCTTTGTTAGAGGTTACTTAGGAGTGAACACAAATGTGTATGTCATGAGACACTGACTCTGTGACAACTGCTTTTCAGTCAATCCTTCTGTATATTCACCTTTAGACTGTCTTCTCAGTATACAGCTGCATACAGAGCAGTAAATTAGCATTACTATAAACTAATATGGGAATACAAGTAAGTACTGTGCTGATCCTCCACACATCTAATGCCTGAAGAAATGTCTGATCATTGTGGTAAGATCATTGTCATCCCCACATTAAACTTCTTAAGAGTGGTGAGAAAAGGTGAGAAAAACCCATAAAGAAGTCAGATGAGAGTATCTTCCACAGAATATGTTATCCATCCTGAAATTAAGAGAATTCCTGCATTGGGCAGTGACTCCAGATTGTAGGGTGGTAGGGTTTCATGCAAACTGGTCAAAATCAACAATGCTCGCATCAGTACTGCTTTGGAAGACATTCAGTGACCAGTACCCAAGCAATTATATTCAGTTAATTTTTGTCTACACTAGTGAGGATTACTAAATATAAAACCCCTTTTAAGGTCTCTCTCGGGAAGACTGCAAAGTAGAAAGTTTCTCTATTCCTTCATAAAGAGAAGATTTTTTAATAAGAAAAGTGTCAGGGGCTATCCTGCTTAAGATGGCAAAGGCTGAAAGAAGTTGCTATACTGTCACTTTTGCCTAGAGGCAGAAAAAAAGCTCTCCTTATGTGCAAATGAAAATAAACGAGACAAGAACAGTCATAAGTGGAAAGAAAACTGCAACTGCCCTGAAGCTGGGTACACAGCAGCCATCAGAATCATTGATTTATTTCCATTATCTTGTTTTGTTTCAATGATCTTGATACAGCTGTTGGAAAATGGACAAGCATATCACCCATTTCATAAACCCCACTCAGGTTATATAACTTCAGTGTGCTGAAAGTGTTCAATGTATCTCCTTGCACTACTGTGGCAAGAGCATCATGATGTAACTAAAAAAAGGGTTATCACCTAAAAAATAATGCTAGTTTGGAAGTCTGTTACACTAAAACATTCTTCAGTCATTAGGCTGAATGCAAACTTTTATTTTTTTTCAGTCATTCTTATTAGCAAGCTTCCATGACTTTTTCAGACTCCAACTTTTGAGGCTCCCCAGGTGTCACTGAAACAATACAACTGAAACAACTGAATGCATATTTCTCATTCAGCTTCAGCACAGCACAAACCATGCTAAGTAGTCTGTAAAAGATAACCACCCCACCAGTGAAAAAAAAAAGTACTGTTTTTTATCTTGCGAGTCTTCAAAAGGAGGTAAAAGAATTAAACCAAACCAAAAACCAACCAACCAACAAAAACAACAGCCCTGCAAAAAATAAAATAAAAAAAAAAAAAACAACAAAAAAACCCCAAAACCCAAAAATCAAATAACATCCCCAAAAAGCCAAAAGCTCATGACAGGAAACCTCTCTGAAATTGGTCTTCTTGATTCCTGAGTAATGCTATTATGCTTTAAAGGATGTGCATTTTTCTTCATGGGATAAGATACACTTTGCAGCTACCACCCATAAGCTCTGGTCCACACTGCTTTCTTCCTGAACTCTGCAACAGACCTCAAGGCCAGAAGTGTAACTGTGAAGACAAGGACAAATTACATTAGTTTGTGCAGTCCAGAAAGGGCATTAGAGTATTCTCCCTAGTAATTTTACTAACACAGGTATAGATTCAGTTCTCCTTTTCCTGAATCTTTTAATGACTTTTCCACTTCCTCGCCTGACAGTTTCTATCCCTTCCCCACAGTACTCTCCAGTTGCACCTGAATAAATTGTTATGTGATTGCTATTCTAGTAACGGAGGGTTTCCAAATAATATGTTGCATTTTATTTTTAAAGGTAACTCAAAAATAATTGACAGATCTATCACTTATATACGCTTGTATGGCCATATGTACCTTTAGGTCCTTTGGATCTTCAATAGTACATTTTAAGTGTCAGCCAATAAGACAGGAATGCTAACTTACCTGTGAAAGTTTTCTTAAAGGCAAAATATAGCTCTCCTACACATGCTAACAGTATAGATTCATCTCACTTCTTTTAACAACTGGATTTTGAGCTATACTGATAGTCATGGAAAAATAAGGACCCAGTTAAAAATATCCTACCTTTCAGCAGGTCCATAGAAGATTCTGATAATGCTTCCTTAGGACTTTCCATCATACTGATCATCCAGTCAATAAACTGAAGATTGGAATATAAAGGAAAATCTGAATTACAACAGTCTCTGTATCAGAACACCACAAATTCTTTCAATTTTTGTAGCTAAACTCACAGTTATCTATCAGAGGCAGTGGTCAATCAAGCTTCTGCCCAAACTATCCAAACGCCCTAGAGTACATCTCTGTGTCAGTACAATTTCTCCCACAGCTGGATCTGAAACCCCCTTTGTTTCATCTCATTACCTAAGCAGTAATTCTTTGTAATGAAGACAGAAGAGTAAATACTTTCCCTTCATCTTGCCTGTTCATGTCTTTAACACGTTAATATGATCCTTCTTATCAGGGTCTTGCTCAAATGTTTTACTGCAAATCCTCAGAACTCTTAACTGCCTTTGTCCTTCTTTCGATCTCTCTCATTTTTCAGTTCTTTCCAGCAGCACAGGGTGCCTGGAGGACAATGTGGTATTCCAAACTTATCAAGATGATTTTCAGGGCATATTCTCAATTATTTTATTAATTATGCATTTGCATATTAACAGCCCGCTCCTGCTTTCCTCCCACATTCTGAATTCTGACTTCAGTGGTAACTCTGAGCACAGCCACGTACAGGAACCAGTCCTTAACAGATTCTGGTTTGCACAAAACAGCTATTAATCTATAGGTTTGTAACAGTATTTCCACATCTTTTCATCACAAGCGACCTACGGTAGGGTTGCCAAATTATGCATGATTTTCCACATTTATTTAAAAATTATGCTTGACACACACTATGAACCGTACAGATCTTTGATAGTCCTAAATTGCCACCGTGGAGAAGCCCAGCTGCAGAGGGTTTGTCGTTCAGTGTTTAGAAGACTGACTTGCTACCAGCAGCTGTCAACTCTTACATCCCATCTGTATCCTCTCAAGAGTTTGACTCCCAAAACTGTAATGATGTTTTTCTTTGCAATTCTCACATACTACTTGAGAAACTACATTCATATCAATTACAAATAAAGAAAAACAAGATCACAAGTCACATGCAATAGATACAGAGAAAACAACCATTCCACTTTAGACTTGAGCTGACTACTAAAACCAGGGTGTTTTCTGACCCTTGGAAAATGCTTACTACTACATGCAATTTTACCTTCTGCGTTTGTTCTTTCCAAGGCTCTTTAGCCAGCAAAAGGCAAATGCTGCTTGGAAGGAGAGTGAGAGTCTCTTGCACAGCAAGCTTGTCAATGGGGTGCTTGCCAATGTCATCCTCAGATAATTCTGGTAATGCTGCTTGCTGCTTCCACAGTAACCAGTTAGCACTGATGCCAAGCAGTAATGGTGCACTATGGTCAGCCCAGGCCACCACAGACGCTGCAAACAGCCACAGGAGAAAATCTATGAACTAAAAAAGAAAAAGGCAAAAATGCAAACTGAAAATCCAGATGATGGCTTGCTCTTTAAAACAAACATCTGAAAACTCAGCTAACACCCAAAATGCAAGAAATAAGTCTCTCTTAATATTCTTTTACACTTGAAGAAATGTAAGCCTTTTTTTGAACTCCCAATCAAACTAAAATGTCTACAGAAAAAAAAGCAAACCCACACTTCTAAAAATCATTGTTTAGATTAATGCTGATACACATTTCATTTAAAATGGGGAAATAACTTCTTTACAGCAAGCTGACTGTTAAGGTAAATTAGAGCTGGTCACCCTTGTGGTGCTACAAATAGTTGGGAAAAATTGAGGCAATGTAAAGAATGTTTTTTTTGATCTAAACAGCATCTTGTTTTATGTCCCCAACCAGAAAAGCTGAACAGATATAAGAATAAGCATCTGTTTGTTGTACAATAAACAATATGAGTTCCCTAAAACTGTACATAACCTCTTAGAAACAGCAGCTGCACAGCTGCACAGTTCTGAACTGCTTAGACATTTCTACTGGCGAATTCCAATTTCTCCTTTATTTTTTCTAAATACAGTAAATTTCAAGTAATGATTTCCTTTAGTTGCCTTTAGCTTCTATCATTATTTAAATGCTATGGTTACTTTAAAGTATGAGTTCTAAATACAAATACATTTACAAAAATTGAGAGTTTCTCCATGCAGGTAAGATGACAACCACCTAAAATATAAAAGCATGGGGAACACTACTTATTGCTGAGCTATAATTTGAGATACATCGAAACCTGTTTTCCTGAAAGCTGCAAATTATTTTCACAGTACATACCTCTTTAAGATTGACATTTTCTAAGGGTCTTGACTTGTACGCTAAATTTCTGATGTAGCCCATCAGCTCTAGCATCCAGTCCATTCTTTTCAGCACTCCTAGAAGGAGAAAAAGAACATTGGTTCACATAAAACAGTGGAATGAACTATTTATTTCATTAAAAAACAAGCACAGGGTATCACTATAGCAACAAAGTACTGACTGTGGAAGAACAATAATCGTGAATACCACTATCACATTTGATTCATGGTTGCCACTGACAGAAGGAATGTTGGCAATTAAACAGTACAAACGTTTTGCTTATAATGCAAGCAACAGACTGTACACACAGAAAAAGGAATGCTGAGCAATAATTACTTCACATGACAGCCTGCAGGTCCCATTAACCCAGTCTGCATATAGGACCACTACAGAATCTTAAAGACTCCCTGAATTTTTTGTCACAGTACTTCATTTAAGTCTAGAACTGATGTCACTGTACACTAGGCAACAATGTGGGGAGTGCTGTGAAAATCCTCCTACAGTGCAGGGAGGACCAGTAAAATACAGTCAAGGCATATAAATAAAATCAACCCTCACCCTAGGGATTCTGCTGCCCAAAACCTGTTCTGCCTCCTACAAATTAGTAACAGTCTTCACCTTTGAGACCACATTACATCATACACTACCATTTCCTTGTACTCTTTACATGTTGCCTCCTCTTATACACAAAGAAGCCTCACTTCACACATTCACAACCCACTACTGTCTGAAGTTCTTCAACACAGCTTGCAGCTAAGCATCCAGCAATATAATGCTTTGAAGCAGTTCTGTGAACACTGCCAGCCAAAGATCTTTCTGCTATGAAAAATCAGAAAATCTCATTATTGCCTCTCTCTGTTGTTTCTTCCTCCTTTATCTTCCTATGTGATTTTACTAGTTCTCTTGCTCCAGCGCTTTATCAGAGCCTTAGCTGACCCAGCCCAACACATTAATCCACCAGATACTATCTGATGTGGTTCGAAGATGCAGAAGGGCAATGTTTTCTTTGTCGACTCACTACAAGAAGCTCAGAAAAACAAGCTATCTCCTTGATTCAACCTATGTCATGGTAACACACCCCTACCTACTGTGTCACTCACTGGTAAGTCAGATACTAGATCTGACAGTTATCAGCATTGCACTATGACTGGTCTCCAATGTGCCCTATACATTTCTAACAAACACTATTGTACACTGAAAGCCTATGAATATTAGGAGATATGAATCTAGTCAAAGCTAGATTAAAATCTAGGCTGGAAACCACTCGTCTGACATAAATAACTTGTAGCTAATCCACAGAAACAAAGAATTGAAGAAAAACGTAAAAGCAATGTTTGACACAGGTATTTGACACAAGTATTTTTTTCAAATTCCTTCCACATTCTGAATTCTGACTTTAGTGGTATTTGAAGAGTATTCAAAGAGCATGAAAATTCTGAAGACTGAGTAGTTTCTAGTATGGCAAAATCTGAAAACCCTTGGGTTAAACCATCTTAAAATTATTAAACTCTGCATAGATACATCAATATCTATTAATTTTGTTAATGATTCCTCTTTAAGCCTGACTTTACCTGTATTTTCATGGCTTACAATATGAACATGACAGAAACTATGCAACAGCATCCATGAAATATCTTCTTTCTTGTGATATACTGCCACAGTATCAATCACAGCACGCAAATTCATTAGAGGCAGTTTGCCTTGAGAAATTAAATACAACTTCATGAATGTGGCCTTCTCTATATTGCTCTGCAAATGCAATTAAAAACTTGTTAGATTAAAATGTACCTTTCTCATGGAAACAATACATGCCGTATTCCCTTTCATAGAAAAAGGGAGGAAAATATTTGATTATCTAGCCAGCTCATTTTGAGTCAAGAAAAGTTACAAAAGACTTTTTGTCTTATACATATTACTTTTATGTGCTTCTAAATAATCCAGCAAAGTACAACTCAGTATATTTTTACTGTTTTCATACTGCTTTAAATTTTACGTTTGCCTTTAAATTGAAATGAGCCAGCCAGACAATTCTGGATAGGCAAGTCTTCCTGCAAAGACAGATTCACTGCAGTGACAAAAATGGTTTTCTTAAGTGGCATTTTCCCGTATGGAAATAAGAGCTCAAAGATATAAAGAAATGACAGTTCAGCTTCCCTAACCTATTTAAATGCTTGATTCTCTAGTGAACCTGCCAGTAAACAGCACAAAATAGTTTTATATCATGGATTTTTCTTATAACAACCTCATTTAAAAACATCAAGTCCTTCCACACATATCATTTCCTTAGCACTTTAGCTGCTAAGAATTCCACTGCTAATTGATTCCACTGGTGAGCTAGAACCTGAAAGCTTTCCATTCTGTTGTTATTCTTAATCATCCTGTCCACCAGGAAACATTTTGACTGTGAACACAAACATAGCACAATAGGTCAAGAATGAAAGGTTGTTCAGTCAAAGTATTTCACATTTTTAACAGAAGTGAGGCTCCACCAATTTAAGCACATCTAAACACTGGGATGCATTTACAGTCTGTTTCAGGGAAGTGGTTATGTTAACCAAAAAGGACTGTGATTTGCTGTTTTCATCACTGGTCTGGGATTCAGAAGATCTAACAGCATTAAGGTTCTGCTAACAGACCCCTCCCTGAACTTGACCAAGTAACTTAAGACTCTGCAGTTCAAAGCTCCAGGTGAAATCTCCCTAGAGAAAGTTCTGGATATGAGCTCTTACAACCTTTGCTTCTCCCTGCTGCCTGCAAAATCAAAGCCAGAACACTCTTACTTGCATGGCAGATAACCTATGCTCCCAATGAGTTAAAACACTCTGGTGACCATAAAAATGGTAAGGCATGCTCGTTTCACATGGTTTGATGGTGAAAGACCAGGAGTAAAACATAATTACCTGAGAAATCTGGACAATGCGATCAATCTCTGAATCAGCCATTTCTGAGATACACTTTGCTACACTGACATACATCTCCAGTTCACTTCTCTGGAAACAGAAAAGCAAATGCATGTTAAGATGTAAAAGTCCAGGTTTCTTCATCATTAAAACTGGTGAGTCTAGAAACTTTGTTAATTATCATGAGGAATATTTAATCTAGTCTCCAGCCCTGTTCTACTTATCCTATTTAAGAAATTCTGTATTTGCTGGGGTCTTCAATATGTTTCATCAATAAATAATAACGGTATCTGAAAATTTCCAAAGATTCAGTTTTACTTTTGATGGAAAACTGCCCTTCTTCCTTGAAGATATTTTCTGTAGCTAGACAGTTTTTTTAAAATCACTGTGAGAAGCTGAATCTTCTGTGAGGAAAACCCCCCTAAGCTTTCTGGTTGTATCCTGCTTCTGTTTCTGTTTCAGTAACATTTATTTCAGTATTCATACTGTATTTTTCCATTGCCAAGTCATTTATGAGGGAAAAGCGTACATTAAATTTGTTTCACAACTTAGTCATATTCTAAATAATATCTGAAAGTAACTTAAATTGAAATGACACAGGCATCTTGACTATTATCACTAAAATTTTACATCTACTTCATATGTGAAATCTGATGAGTCAGTGCAAAAAGATGGGGCTTAACATCAATAAAAGTATCCAGTTACAATGTTCATACCTCTCATAATTATTCCTTACCTGAACCTCATTTGGTAGAAGTTTAAATATTTTCTCCACAGCCTTGCACAGAAAGCTCCAGCAGTACTGGGCAAGGTCTGGAAGTTTCATTGCTTGCATAAGACCCTGTAAAACACACTGGCAAATTTCTGTTTTTTTTCTGTGGTTCACTCCAAATTTTTGTATCAGAAACACTTCCATAAAAGACTGTAGTTTGTCTTCTGCAACATGTTTCATCCACAGAGAGAGGGACATGAAAAGGTATTTCTGGGTTTTCATCTGAAAAAGAAAAACTTCTCCTTAGTTTCAGATTCTAGCTCTTTAATGACCTTCAACTACTGTTATAAAGGATGAAATTACACAAAAGTAACTCAAACCACTTAGAAAAGCATTCAAAGTCATAAATACTTCTCAACTCTTATTCTCTCTTTTGATGACTTGCTTGAATTAATAGAATGTACTACAAACATGTCAATATCCTATTTTCCTTAAAAACTGAGGAATTTTCTTTCAATGAACCTTACATCTCTGTATTGGCAGGACAACTGTTATTTCCCTATATGGTGCCCAGCGCATTCCTACATAAAGCATAGGGCCTGACTACACAACCGAGGACAGACATATGGTACCCCTAGCACCATTAACACTGCTAGCTATCAAGGAAGAATGAATAAATAATTGCTTTAGAGGAATCCAAAGTTTACACTTTCTGTTGCCAAGCGCATTTTGTGACCTTCAATGCCCACTGCCGTGAGAAACTGGTGCTCATCTTTTGTTTGGTGCCTTACCAATAACATATCTTAAAATTGCCAAGTGTTCGTGTAACTGTGAAGACTAATGAATTAAAAATTACAAGACAAAAATACCCCTTGAAGTACTGGAAAGATCACAGAAATCCTGATCCTCAACTTGTATAAACTGAGAGAACTGCAAGTGTACCATGGGATTTAGGGAGACTGACACACTAAGTCATGGTGTGCACGTTTTACTTCTGTAGGAAGAACTGCGCTGTAGTGGAGGGCAAGACCAAATCTGATTACGCTATAGGTTAGTCTATTGACTGTCTGCAGAATTAATTCAAGAAGTAATACATTTGACTAGATCAAGAGACGTTGCTGGAAGAAACAGGCATGATTTTGGAAAGATAGGTGGGAAGTTTAAAGACTATAAATTCATATAATAAAAACCACTTTTTCTCCCCTCATGCTATTGCTTCTTACATCCCTTAAGTGATCAGAACTATAGCATAAAAAGAGAGAGAAGAAAAAAAGTCTTAAGCAATCTAAGTGAAACCAGTGTAGCAGAACTTAAGTCTGCTTTGAATTTCAGGGCCCCAGAATAGCCTTTCTCTCACTGTAAATACTGCCTAAACAGTATTTCTGCAGAATTCTGAAGCCAACAATCGCTTTTGGGTGTTACATCGTAAACACCATCACTGATCAATCTTATAGAAACAGGTGCTGAGCTCCCATAAATTTTATGACATACATACACTGAGACTGTAGACAAGGGGAGATGTCACCCACATCCCCAAAAGCATTGCGGCATTTTGAGATGACTGGGCCTGTGTCACTGCCAGCTGAAGGCAGAGATGTTTTACCTCATCACCTATAGCAGAAGAAAACAAACAGATGTGATGAAGAAATTATTTTCACTTTGTTCTCAAATCATATAATAAAGAAGCATTATTGTTCTACTAGAGCATGACATTAAAATCTCATTATCTACAGATGCTAGTAAAGCTTGTAACATGTACATGTTAGAAGTCTCCTCTTACCATTCATGCACTTTCAGCAAGAAATCTCCGGATTTGACCAAATTAATTTCAATTCACTCAAGAATAAAAAAATGGGAATGGTAGGAAAAGTAAGAGTAAAAAAGAAATCCCTGCCAAATGAAGAGAAGATTTAACCTACAGCAGGAGAACTGAGTCAAATATTCCTTCCTGTTGAATGTAGGAGTAAATAGCATTTGTTCACGTTTCTGCTCTTCCATGTACCCCATATTCATCTAGTGTGTCACAGAACAGAGGTTAGTAAATGTTACTGCTGTAGGTGCTTGGTTGCAGCATTCTCCAGATTAACACATGGGAAGATCTTACTGTGCCTTGAGGTCATGACGGTTACAGAATCCTTATTGGTTTCTCTTAAAGTCACCTTAATGACTGGTACAGCCTGTTCCGTAATAGAATCACTAGTGAAAAATATGTTGAAGAGGTACTTAGAGCAATAGCATGGCTTCCATACAGTTCATGACTGCTATAGCAACCTAAGGACAAACAATTTAAGTATTATACCAGCATTTGACCCATTAGACGGAAGATATATTACTGTTAAATGTCAGCATAAAACTTACATTGCAAGTTAAAATGTTCTTTCAGTAACGAAAGTGACAATCTATACAGCATGACTTTTATAAAGTTTACCAACATTAGTGCATGAACAAAGCAAAGATTTAAGAGTGTAGCATCAGGCTCTTTGAAATATCTTATATGAAAAGTCATTTGCAGAACATGGAAAGGGTGAGATTGTTACAAGATACTTTGGTAGCCAATTCAAGAATTACCTCTCACTAATTTGGGCTGCTAAAACCCAGATTATTATTTACTTATGACTGTTCAGTGCAGATCTCTACTGAAAAAACAATCAGGTACTACTTCTATCACATGATATTGTTTCTGCTCAGCAACAACTGCAATAAACCTTATGAGATGGCAAAGCAAACTGTTGTCTTCAGTATGTTTACAGATGAACAAGTCTTCACTGCAGAATTTGTGAAACATTTAAAGCTCACAAAGAGATATAAATTCTCAGACATGAATAACAGTAACCTAGAGAATCTGAGAAATTGAGCATATAATCTAATTTTCATTAAAAAAATAGATTTCTGTTCCAGAAAAACTGTTAAGACTGCCACATTTCCAGGTGGACTGTTAGGTTATAATACAACTCTTCTGCATTATGCTTTCCAGCACAACATGAAAATTGCTCACTAGCACACAGCAAGACTTATTTCTGAATGCATATATAATCACAGAATCATAGAATGCTTTGGGTTGGAAAGGACCTTAATCATCAAGTTCCAACCCCCATGCCATGCCTCACACTAGACCATTTCACCCAAAACTCTGTCCAACCTGGAAGAGTATGCAAATTTCACAACACTACATAGGCACAGTCAAGAGAAATTATGCATTAAAAATGTAGGCTATAATGCTGTTTGAAGTCAACAAAAACAGCCATAAATGCCAATGTACTGTTTTTTGTGGAATTCCCCTGATTTACAAAATGAAGACTTCTAAGTGAAAAACAGAAATAAGAAAATCCCCCATTCATTTAACAAGTTTCAGCTATTCATAAGGCTGCACACAAATTTGCATCAGCATGGACTGCAGAGCTCAGTATAGAAAATTCTTTCGTTTATTCTTACAAAAGACTGTACAATTGCAAGAATACCAAGTAGAACAGAAGCTGCAGTTCAAGTACAAGAAAAAACATTTAATACATAGCTAACTTTTCCTGTATCTAGCACATAGTTGATCCTCACAGGATAGTTCAATGATTTCTATATAATAATAATAATAATAAAAATAATAAAAAATTAGGTAACAGCATAATTTAGTAATTATTTATATATATACATATATGTGTGTATATATATATATATATATTTTATACAAGCACTATGTATAAGTAAAATAAATACCGGAAAGGAATAAGAACAATCTTCCATATCCTGGGCTCTACAGCACATCAAATTAAACACAACAGCACTTGCCCAACCTGCAAGGCCAGTAATAACAGTTACATAGATCGGGAGAAACAAAACGTAGTGGAACCAAACAGGGAATATGGAACTTTGGACACTAGTTTGTTGGGTTTTTTTAAGGAAATGTGTTTGAAACTCAAACACCTCTATCAAATAAAACAGGCACTGACCCTGAGTAGAAAAGTATTACACAAGCTTTCCAACACAACACTTCAGCATCAGAGCTACTCTCCAACATAAAGTACTCTTAGAAACATCGACAACACCAGGGTCATGATGGAAAAAGGGATATGCTTTTCTCCATCACACAGTGTAATTTAGCAATAAAAGTGTATTTCACACCAGTGATAGAAAGATGAACTACAGAGCAGTTCAAACTGGTGATAAAGCTGTCTGCAGCCTCTAACACAGCATTTAGCAGGTACTGAAAATAAGATACAATTAGTTAAGTTTCATGAGGGGCTCTTCCTACTGTTCCAATGAAAAATATGATCCAAATTCACCAGCATTTTAGGGAACTTCTAATACTGCTCAAAATCCTCATCTCTGGTCTTCTCCTGCATTCTAACAAGATGTCCAGATTGTGATCAGAAATATATGCTTGCAAAGATTAAAAAGTTGGTCTTAAAAGTATAGTAAACACTCCAATCCTTGCAGTAACTTCAAGTCCTGAAGCAGGCTCTAAAGTGAAAACTCTGTCAGTAAAGAAGTTTTGTTTCAGTACAAAAGACTGAAAACTATTAACCTTACCAAAGTTTAATCTCATCAAAGGAGATAGAATGGATGCCCAGTTTACAGGTGGATACTGATGGTTTTCTCCAACTAATGCAATGGGTGCCAGGGCTACTTTCACCAGCTCAGATGGGACAGATTCGGGGCCTACAACAGAAGATCCAATCATAGTCCGAATTTCATACATACACATTTCGCTAAGCAGCTCAGGGAAAACGTGTTAACACTGCACTGAAGATCAATATGTAGTAAAGAACTGAAAAGCATTATAAAATTATTGGTGTATTTTTTATATCTTAAACTATCTCTTGCTTATAATTAACAATTGTATTTTTAACATTAATGTCCTACCAAAAAAAAAGCTTTTTGTTATGAATAAATAGAAACTTTTCTTCTCCTTGAATTAATTTACAGATTAATTACAGCTAATCCTCATCTGACAGCATCATATTTTTACTTTTGTTAGGAGAACAGCAAAGTCTCTTGACACTGCCCTCCTTCCCCATCCTGTAGGTGCAGGCCACAAAAACTGTCAAACAGACATTAACTTTTGTTACGTACTGTGTTACTTAAACACAGGGATTCAGCTCAGTCCTGCTGGAGGCAAGGCATGGGCTCCTAAGGCATGGGAGTTTCTACTTCCACTGAAAGCAAAGCCTGCTTCATAGGACAGCAGTGAGCTCACTTAAATCCACACAGAAATAATCTCCTCTGCCTTATGCCCCTTAACACTGTACTTGGAGACATCTTTTTACTACCACTTCTCAGGTAAGAGCATGCTTTCTTCAGGTTCCTCTGCATTTATCAGACAGAAGTAACCCATTTGAATGCCGATCTGTTACAGAGAATCTTAACCTCAGATCACTGAAATAAGGAGCAGCATAAAGTTGGCTGATGATGGAATATTCCTGATGATACACAGGAACACTTAAAAGTTACCTGATTTTCATTCCAACAGGGAAGATTCATCCTCTCACAGAGAGAAGAGGAAATGGAAAGGGTTTAAAAACTCATGAAAATCCAGTGGAGAAAACTAAAGCCTAACTACATAATTCTACCTTATCTTTTTACGTGTTACTCAATTTTTTGTTTAGAGATTAAATATCCCACACTAATGAAGTTCAAATTAGTATTTAGAAAAGTTCTGGCAAATAAAAGCAGGTTATTAGGGTCACCTTCTATACTCATAACAAGTCTCCCAGTAGGATATTGTAGTTTGATCCCTTCTTACCTTTTTTTCCACTTTCAATGGCAAAGTCAATGGCTGCCCTAATAAAGCTGTTTTCAGGCAAGTAGCCAAAATCTGGAGGAACTGTGAAGACAAAAAGTCTCTTTATATACTAAACCGTGTTAGCAGAAATTACATACTTCAGCTCCCATGTAAATTCGAAGACCAAGTTGAGCTATGTTTGGCCTAATTCTGTAGGTGACTCAAAGCGTTTAGACCACAAGATGTATTGGCCTTTTCACTAAGGCAAGTTAAACATTTGTGTTGGTGAGAGGTGCCAGGTCTAAAAAACCAAATTAACTGACCAACTGAAATACCAGTGATAAGAACTTTCTTAATATTTATCAGCCACTAGGCTTTAAAAAGGAGAGCTTCAAAACCTTAGTAAGTTTAATACAACAGAGACATTCCATATCCATGTAATCGCAGGCACACGTGCCATGATTATACAAAAGTAGAAATTCCAACAATCATTATTCTGTGATGAGGATATTTATCTACATTTCATATTGTTCCAACTTGGTTCACACTGAAGGGAACAGCTTCCACTTCATTAGTTTCCTTCTATTACTGGTACTTCATCAATGGTGTAATTCTGCCTTAATTTTACCAATGGATATTGAAACAACATCAGAAGGTAATGATGTGTTGACAGAATATGAATTTTTATGCTAATTACTACACTGAAAGGGTACAGAACACTAGTTTTTGACTTCAGCTAAACAGAGCAGACCTCTTTTAGAAAAATACTTTTAAAAAGTCACTTCCTCTTGTTACGGATCAGTTTTTAATTCTTGGCTTTTTTATATTGGAGGAAGTACTAAAAAAAATAAATACATATATATATAAAAGTAGATTAATCAGTTCTCAGGGCATAGATACTGTAGATGTCAAACACGTGCCATATGCATAAAATTTCTTTACAGTTTATTCTATAAAAGAACAAAGAAGCAATATACAAATTTGACTAGAACAACTCAGAACCTTATGATACTGCAAGTAAAATCAGGTGGGGGGAATCCTGTTCAGCACACTGATTCCTGACTCATGTTCCAACCTTCTATGTATGCCATATAGGGCCATGACACCCATTAAAAAGCTTTCATGTCATTTAGTAGGGCTTCAGGGCCTAGCCTGTATTACCTGATGTGTCCCTTGCTGCCTTTTTAGCTAGGTGCTACCTCTACATGTCCTTTAAGCAGCGATAATAAAGCATCTTACCTGACATCCTGTTCTGGGTAGAAGACAAACAGGACATATAAAGGCGTCCCAAAAGTCCTGCTGCATTTGTCTGAAGGCCAATCTGCCCTGAAAGACTGATTATCTGTTAACACAATAAACAAGTAGTTAGACAGAGTTCCCTACATTGTCTCACCCAAGCTGGACACAGACATTATGCAGTTTCTTTAAGTAGAGTTGGCCTGGCTGTTTGAGGTGTCACAGTACAGTATCCAAAGAAGGAAAGAGAGGCTACCTTCTTACCTGTGTAAGGGTTCTGATGACTTCATTCAGCTTACTTTGAAACTGGGAGGACTGAATTCTCTCGGATTTCAGCTGCCAAAGAAAACAAAAAAAAAAGGGGGGGTGTGTGAAGTGAATTTTATAAAGGAAAAAATTAAAAACAAAACAGAGCAAGTGCTGAAAAGACATATTACATTTGCACACACGCCTTTTTGTGGAGCAGGAAAGAAGAAAGCCTGCATGGCTGTGAGCTTCTCCCCTCTGGCACTGCACATGGGCCGTATTATGGGAGAATGGAATAGACACCCATTTTACACGTCGTAATTCTATCCCACTTGGTTTATACTCAACATGACTCAGTACTGCATAAACAGGATGCCCTGGTATATAATCCCTTCTCTAAGGATGCAGAATACATCATTCCAACTTACCTTCTAGACAAATTTCTAGAAGAGATAAAGGTATCATTTGCTTGCATGCTCTCTCACCTGTATCATGCCTCCTTCAGAGCCCACCAGTGCAACCAGCCCACTGACAGCAGCCAGACGCTGCATTGTTGGAGAACCCTAGAAGCGTAATTCAGGATCAGCGAGTCAATGAGGTCACACACAATACTGTAGGACAAAACACCCATTTCTCCCAACTTAAAAACCGTGAGTCTTGTCACTTGTACACCTCTCATTCCAACTACCTTTTCAGCTGCAATCTTTATAAGTTTAGAGTTTAATTTCAAACACTTTTTGTTACAATGAGGTAAATTAAAATTATTACAACAACTGAGTCACTATAATCACCATTCTGTTACTTAACTTTGTTAAGTACCACCTGATTTCACAAGGCATCCTCACTTAATAACCTAGATTTTACCCTTGGATGTTGTTCCAAATTAGTAAAGATGTACAAATTATGTCATTAAGATAAGCACATGCAGAAGAGAAACATTTGGTTTTAAACTTTGGCAAACAGCCCAAAGATGTATTTTTGCTTCCAAACATAAAAAAACATCTTTGGATAGTCCTAACTTTTCTCAGAATCACTCCTGCAGAAGGAAGGAAAATTATGTCCCTACTGTTCATTTAAACTATGCACTCTCCCTCTCTCTGCAAAAAACAGGATATGAATTCCAACTCCTTTACCTCTGCAAGCACAACTTTTATCCAGGCTGGCATTAGCCTGTTACTCAGGTCTTCAGCCTTTCCATGACCACAAGCTGACAATCCATGTACTATTGCACCTAGAGCTAAAGCAAAGCCATGGGTCTACAACATGAGAAAGACACATTAAAAAACAGATCTTCAAAATTATTCTGTAATCTTTTAAATATTTACTATTGAAACATTAACTATTATTTACCAATAATTAGAAGCAATGTCTTTGTATAAAATACTGGATACTTTCTTATTCCAAGTATTTTCTCATGTCAAGTGACATAGTTATTTTCTGACATTAAATACTGAGCTTTGGCACATGGATTGATCTGGAGCTTTTATTTTAGAGCACTTTCTGATATAAAGAAAAAATCTGCAGCAAAGGTAGCTTGTTTTAACTTCTTGTTTTCCACATAAGCATTCTAACAGTTGATTAGTATAATAACAGGCTTTGACTCAAAATGGTTGCTTTGGGTTTTTTTGGTTTTTCTTTTTTGAGATTTTATGCTTGTTTGTTGGGGTTTTTTTTGTTTGGTTGTTTGGTTGGTTTTTTTCCCCTGGCGAGCATGTAACAAAGAACATGCACTGTGATTTGGAGATAATGGAAACTATTTTTGGAATTTTTAGAGGGTAACATTAGGACACTAGGGATGAAACAGAGACCTGGGGGAAGCTGTGGCCGTGGTTATGATGCACTGCCTGGAGGCTAGGGGAAAGCAAAAATTCAGAAGAACACAGTAGATGTATTTTCCTGGTAAGAAAAAGAATCTAAAGAAACATGTTATAAAGGGGACAAAAACTGGCACAATGCAGAGACTAAGACATAAGTAACTCAAAAGTACCAACTTCCCTTCTAAATGCAATCAAATCTATAAAATACATTTTTATTTCACTGCCTGGTAATAGCTATACATCTGTAGACAATGCATCAGTGGATCAAGTGGTAGTCTTGGTTATTGCATGGTATACGCAACACGCTCAGTAGTTAACCAACATGATTTTCTTGGAAGTTATAGTCTGGATAAAGCAGTATCCAATATCAAACAGATCAGAGAAAACCAGAACTAAAGCAAAGCCCAAGCATTAAACTATGACCTGCTGATTATTTTCAACTAAGGTCCGTAGCTTGTTCATGGCCTCCTCAGCCTCATGTGCTTCTATGATGCCAACACTGAAAGCAGAGACACAGGAACAGGCCACAGAATAGGCAAGCACCTGAAAAATAAAAATATTTAATTCTGTTAACTGGTGACTGATCACATTCACTGTAGCAATATGAGCCTGGAGCAATGTGCCAGCATGATAAAATGCTATGATGTTTTCTATTTCTACTTTCAGATGTTGATATCCTCTCTGAAAGATTCTTCACTGACACTATAATGAAACAAATACAGCTAAAGCTTGAAAGTACTTCTGGTTTTATGTAGGCCAAACTCTTGGTCTTCCACATAAATGGAGTTATTTTTCTCAACACAAGTGTCTGTTATTTATATGAGCATACACAGCATGCTGTGATCCTATCAGGGCTACAAGCAGGTCCACAAGGCCAGAAGATGAATGTGTAGTAGAACTGTCTCCCACACACAGTGCACTACTACCCTTATGCCCTTGCAGAAGGATTCACAAGTGACACTGCTTTTCTGTTCTTCAGACTTAGATGCGGAGAATAAGAAAATGAAGTCTGAACTTTCAACTGTGCCAACTGTTTTACATCCTATGCATCAAGGCTAAGCAACAGAACACATGGCTTTAAGTGAACTTACATACTGTGCAGGACTGACAACAAACTGACTTAGAATGCTCAGATGTGGCAGCACGCCAAAGTTACCTGTCAAGTACAGGACTATATCCCAGTCACTTACAGCTCTCAAAGAGCCTCTTGTGCATCTCATAAATATAGTCGTATTCATCCTACGGTGCTGGTCAAATTTTACTCATGAAATTATCTGTACAGTTCCTTCAGAGACTTTAATTGAATAGGGTAAGTTTTGCTTCTCTTCCCAAAGTATCTAATGATATTAAACATCTGCTGCCTTTCATCTCAGAAGTTGCTGTAGAGAACCCAGTTTAAGTTCAGGAAAGCACTTTGAGATCTCTGAGGAGAGATAAATGATTTCATAGCTGTAAACCATTTTAATGCATGAACCATAAACTGCAAAAGTTTAATCCCCAACATACATGTAATGCCAAAAAATTAAACTTCATGAATGAAGACCTTTAATAAAGAGCTTTCAGAGCAGTATCGAGGGAGAAAAAGAATAATACTACCAATCTCTGCTAACTCCCTTAGAAGAAACAGAGGATTAAGCAACTCGGATTTCCAGATGCTGCAGGCTTACATACATCAGGTACAGGGTTGCTTCTTTTTTCATGCAAAATACGTGCTCACTGATTCTTGGTTTTCTGTTGTAAACTCCAGTTTCATCAATTTTCCTTCTCATGTTTTATGTCAACAAGCTTACAGACTTAGTGCACAGACCACACCAAAACTTACAGGACATATCTTGGCAAAATAAATTGAAACGGATGTGCAAACTTAGCAGAAGTCAGTTTAACTCTTCAAAGCGTAGAAAGAAAACAGCACATGGGGCCGCAGCAACATTCACAAGAGCAAGAGTCACATTACATAGAGACAGCAGCTTTCAAAGAAGGAAACACAGACATATGAAAGGAGGAAGTATTCGGATTAAGATTCTCTCTGACAGTAACTTACTGCTTTCTAGTAGATCAAATGAGCAGTAAGATGAATATCAGAGAGACCCATATCCAGTTACTTGGGACTAACTTTCAATTTGAGGTTAAGGAATTAAGTAAGCACTTGAGAGAATGATATCTTAACTTTTTAGGCAGTTTCTTAATGTTTGTGCATCATTACAGATAATTCTATAATTGTTTTATTCAGCAGATATAAAACCATATATTGTGAAAGAAGTAACAGAAACCAAGTATTCCAGTACCACAGGTACAAAGCTTCAGTAAAAGTCTATAGCTATTAAATGGAGGCAACAAAGTAAAAGAAGGTTTATAGTTTACAATAAAATATGTCATACCTCCTGCACCCATCTGCTTTGGTCCTCACTGCTGTCCAGGTATTTGCGGAGTTTTCTCAATGAAGCAGAAACATGTACTCGTGACTCTGTTTGGCTACTGTGACTCATAATTGACAGAACAAGTCCTACTCCCAAAATACATCCAGTGCTTAATGAGAAGACAAAAGAAAACAGATTAAGTATGATGTGGTAAGTATGACCTTGCCTGATAATTAGCCCCGTAGATAGTTACTACCACAGTCAATTTTAGAGGTGTTTTTTATTTCACACATAGGTGGATGCTTTTCAGGAGACACAGAATGAAAAAACAGTATAAAAAGGAAATGCACATTAAAAATAATAAATCCTATACATAGAGCTTCACTGTTTCTTCTTCTGAAGAAATTTCTTCTGGTCCCTGAAGAACCAATAGCCCCATCAACAAGCACATCAATTGGTAGGAATAAGTCTGGATCCAAACTTCTGCATCTGATTTATACCAACATCCCAAACTTTGATATCCCAATTAAAAATACCAATTGCAGGTCCGCTGGCTGTATTAGGGTCTGTTACTCTCAGATTCCTGCAAGGGGAAGAGGGCAGGGGGGTAAGTGAGCAGCTGTGTGGTACTTAGATGCTAGCTGGATTTAAACCATGACAGTCCCTTTTCTGCACCCAACGGGTACTAAAATCAGCATAGGTAGCAGCAGACCAGCTTCAGCAGGGCAGACATATTCAGCAAAACTAACATCTTGATGCTGAGGATACTTACAATTTCAACAACAAGAGTGTAACTTCTTGTATATGACTTAATAGGGCTGCTGGCATGAACAGCTTCACAGTCCCTGCCTGTTTTTCAGATTTGACCAGAACTTCCATTCTGGACCAGAGAACTCTTACCAAATTCAGTGCCTGTACTCCCACAGCATTTCAGTTTCCACAGGTCATCAGTCATAACACTGAAAACTTGTGTCAAATAGCCTCAGTGTGGCTGCCATGATGAGATACTAAAAGCATAGCAGATACTCACTGCCATAAAGATAATCTCTCACTGACATGCATATACGATAGTTTAAAGAAGCATCTTTTATCTGAAGATGAAGATTATTTTCCCTCATGCATCTCCCTGAGCATGCTAATTTCAGCCACCCTATGTAGCAAGCAGTCAAATAAATGAGACTAGGATCTTAAGCATTCTTGTAAGCTTCTGCTATCCAACTTAAAAAGAAAGAAACTTCTGAAATCAACTTTGGTCGTATTTATAAGCTAATGTTTTTCAGCAACTGGGGATGAAGAAGATGAGCATGCCTTGACTTGGACTGGTGTCTTGGCAATGGTGTCACTTTTTCCAGCAAAGACGAGGAAATAAACTTCTGGAATCAATATGTTTAAGTGACTGGCATATCTGAATTCATGAAGTCAGCAAAATAAGGACATGGCTTACACAATAGTTCTATACACTATTTTACACTATTGTTTGGTGACAAAAATACACATGTGCATATAAGATGAGCAGCCCTGCTCCTAAAATTGCTGGTTTCTTCCTACTGCCTTCGAGCAAGACTGTGCAGTTCTCTATACATGCCCATGGTTTTTACCAGTGCACTGCCAGGGATTAGCTGTAGTAGTCATTGCTTCTTTTCACCTCATAGTAGGGACTGTATGGAAAAGAAAAAAACCCTGTGTGTGTTAAATACAGGCACATATGCATACACTCACGTATGTTCATATATAAATATTATACATCTATTTATATACGGACATACTCACTTACAAGAGATGGTACAAAAAGGAGTAAACCAACAGAAACATCCTGAAATTCAAGAAGCACCAACTCGCAGTCCTACACCTGGCAACAGACAGGCTGGGACCAGAGAGTCTGGACAACAATTCTTGGTGATAGCGCTGGCACTGATGGGCAACAAGCTGAGTCACAGTCAAAAATGCACCCAGGCAGTGATGAGGGCTAGCAGTGTTGGGGGAAGACATCAATAAAACTGAACAATTTCACGGAAGGCTACAGAGGCATTAAGGCTGGAGAACTTGCATGTGAGCAGAGGCTGTGGGACTTCATCTAGTTCATCTGTGAAAAGGGATGGCTTTGGGGGCACCCAGCAGCTTCTCTGACACTGACAGTACTCACCACCAGGTTGGACAGAGCCATTGGTGACATGGTCTAGGGTGAGGTGTACCTGCCCATGGCAGGGGGTTGGAACTTGATGATCTTAAGGACCTTTCCAAGCATAACCATTCTATGATTGAGGAGACGTAGCTGGGCTCTTGCACGGTGAGAGGCTGAGAGGCAGTGCATGCAACAAGCTGAAACATCAGATGTTCACACAGAGATAAGGACAGCCCTAAGTGGAGCCAGGGCCTAGAGATACACTATCTCCAGTCTTGCAGGTTTCAAACACTAACTGTAAAGATGTGGGCAATGCAGTCAAAGTCCATGGGCAAATGTTTAGGGGGGGCATGTACCTCAAAGCCCTTGCCAGCCTGCACAAGTTGGTGATTCTATGGAAGTACTCAGCACAGGCTCTCTTCTTACCCTACTCCTATACTCGTCTGTGTAAAATTAGGGAATACAAGCATAAATTGAAGAAGTGGATCTCAAAATACAACAAAATATCATCTCTAATGAAGGAAATTCACCTGTACTCCAGACTAGTGTCAAAGCAGGAGTCTTCCAGTGCATCCAGGGACTTCATTAGAACCAAGTTCATTTGCTGACCAGATACATCACTACAAAAACAAAACAGAAACAAACAAAAAATCTGAAGCACAGCTCTACTCTTTAAATCATTCAGGATATTAAATCTCCTGCTGAGACTGAAAGTGCCAGTAAATACAGTTCTTTTCTTCCTGTAACAAGTTCTGGTACTAGCCTGTAAGCAATAAATGTATGACTGGTCATGAGTTTGTTTATATGAATGTGGCACACATATACAAATTATAAAAACATATTCAACCCATAACTGGCAATCATTATTGCTACAGCTCCCAGCACCCAGGACTTGTAGAACATGCCTGACAGAAGGAGGAGGTTACTGATGGAACTTGATCAGAAAATGCATGGTATTTTAAGATACCAGCTTCATAAATCTCTCTTGCCATCTCGCTGCTTAACTTACTGATTAAAAAAAAAAAAAAAAAAGCATTTACATCTCACTACAAAGACATCACAGGGACTCCCTCCTCCAAAATATGTAGTTTTCTTAATGAACAGGACATTAATGCAAACTGACTCTATGATTTTATATTACTTACAGCTACACCCCCACAAGTTTTGCTGTTGTTGTAAGTCAATGTTTGGAAGGATGTCTGAGATTAAGTTTTGAAATTAGACAGGGCAGCAGAAGAGCGGCTAAGTCACAGGCAGCACGGCATCAAGATGCCAGAGCACAAAGATTAGAACAGAACAGTGCTGCACAGTATTTTAACAAAGGCAGGTGTGGTGGAAACATTATCCTCACTAAGCAAATTAACAACTGACAGCCAAATTCATTTTACACCTATGCTTCTGCATCAATTAAACATTTATTATAGGTATACAAGCAGACAGAATCGCTAGTGGCAAAAAAGCTGGAGGAGTATAAAGCCAAACCTGCTACTCAATTTTTCTGGAATCATCAGAAGTTTGCAACTGTAGCTAACTCTTCTGTAAATAAGGCCTTTTTTACTAACTTCAGAACATTGCTTTGTTGCCAACATAGCTGTTAACAGCACACCTTAGGGACAGCCCATTACTTCCTGTAGCTCCATTACCATATGCATAACTCACATGATACAAGTGGACACTATTCCGTCTCCAGAGCACCACTAAGAAAGGAATGGATTAGAACTGTGAATTATTTTACAGTTAAGTCTCCTGCAGCAGCTAGTCCTGCTTTAAAGTGTATGTGTGGCTCTTCTAGATGACTGTTTTGTGCAAGTAACTAAGAATATTATGAAAATTTATCATTCATAATGAAAGAATGGCAAAATATCTAGGATAGCACAGGGGCAGGGGGTGGTGAAGACTGATAATAAAAGACACCTTTTAAGAAATGTTGCAAAGCCCTACAAAACTCATTTGCCTACGACTTGTATATACTTTGAATTCCTCAGAACTTAAGACTACATGCAGGAAAAAGAAGAAAGCTAGTTTTGCACACCTACATTACATATGGTAATCGTTACCTGACTTTTTCTTCATACAAACGTGAGATAAACATCCCCAGCCCAAGGCCCATGTGGATTTGAACAGCTTGAGACTCATCAGCATTTTGTTTTCCAGGCAACCTGTCAGTCAGCATATTCAGGACCTCCTCAACCTTCTCCTTGCATGATACAGTGAAAACTGGCACCAGGAGAGACAAAGCAGTGGCTGCACAGGAACGAGCTATACTACTGGCAGTATTTTCACCTGAATAGGATTTCTGTAAAAACACAAAAAGGATTTTTATTTTCTTTTCTTCCTGGGAGAGGGAAATAAAATTCTCTTCCAGGTAGTAACACTCAAAACTTCAGGAATTTAAAATAAATACCTATACAGCAAACAGTGTCACAGACGTATTGCAATCTGTCAATAAACAATGTTTCATGGAATTGCTTACGGTAACTTTTCCATTTGCCTTACCTTGTAAAAGCTTAAAACTAGGGTATTGCAGAATATAATTTTTAAGTGAAGATTGCTAAGCATGACACTGTAAATAAAGGATAAGGCAGGGTGAATTTAATAGCTACCCTACACATAAATACATTGGTCTATTTGAGTTTTTACCTTCCTTGTTAAAATATCCAGCAGGGTGATCAGAAGGGCAAACAGAAACCAGCCATGATATTAATGTACTTCGGTAATCACAACACGCCAAGGATTCAGTGAGTTAAAAAAAGCACTAACTTAAAAGCACCTAGGATGACAAAATGTCATAACATCATACAAGATAACGGGTAGAGATGCTTTCCAGAAGGAAGATCCATTACGAAGGTTTTTAATTCCTTTCCATTTTGAAATGGAAAAATCCATACAGCTACCTCTACTTATATAGCAATGAACTGATTCTAAGTAAGAGCCTAAGGTGTATTTATTACTTCCATGTGCAAGTCTGAAAAGGAGCAGGAAAAACAATCCCATCAGGATTCAAGGCACCCTGTAGTACAGCAGTTTCTATTGTGTGCCTTAAAGTTTTACAAATATAAGATTTAAACTTATTTATTTTTAAACAGAGTGAATTTTACAAATGCATCATTACGTTGCTCCATGTCAAAAACACCTTTGTTAAACAGCATTATTTTCAAAGGTAGGAGTCACAGAACAATTCAGCAAGAACTGCTAGTGCCAAGCAAGTAGTTGAATCTCCTTACATCCAACCAGTCCAGCATTCATTTAACACTACATTTGATTTGGTAATCTACATCCCCCAACAGCGATGGCAGGGGCTCCATGCCATGAGATAAGAATCACTGGCTCCATAACTATTAGGTTTTGAGAAACATATGCATTTCACAGCTCTGAGGAATGGTGTCACAATCACTCAAGCATTTGATAATGCGGTCTGATGAGAGCCTGTTCACATTAGAAGGTTTTGTTTTGTATATGTATGCCGAATATTCCAGGTTTTGACGGAGTTTTGTGTGGTCTTTGTGGGGTTTTGCGGGTTTTGTTGTTGCTGTTGTTTTTTTAATTTCCTTCATTCACATACCCTCACAGGTGGTTTTTACTACTCTGGTAATAAAGACAAAAACTCAAGGCAAACCCAAGTATATGCAAAAAACACAGTGAAAAAAAAAGCAAGAAAGTTTTAATTCTGCTGTATTACAATTACTACAGGGCAAGCAGGACCAGGAAACTCCACACTATGAACTCCAGGTATGAAATACAGATACGCTTTCTTGCCTTTAAGATCACAACATGTACCTGGTAGAACCATGGAAAGACTTGACCTCTGGGGCGATAGCGGCTATTCACAACACTGAAGAGGGTCTCTGTGACCATAGAAATCCAATGTTTTGTGGGAAGAAAATCAGGTTCAGTCTGCAAAAGTCAAACCCAAATATTCTTTAGATTTTTTTCTTAAATTTGGTCCTACCTGAACAGAAGCTCAACAGCTGATGTTCCAGTTATGATCCATCAGGAATGAGATTATTTTGTCATTCTTATGTACAGCAAGCAGAACGATTTATTTGCCAGTGCTGATCCTTGAGACAGTATTTTTCATCAGGTACTATTCAGTGCAATCAAAAATGATGAGAAAGGATGTTAGCTGGCTTTCATAGAATCATAGAATGGTTAGGGTTGGAAAGGATCTTAAGATCATCTAATTCCAACCTTCCTGCCATGGGCAGGGACACCTTGCTCTAAACCATATCACCCAAGGCCTCGCTCAACCTGGCCTTGAACACTGCCAGGGATGGAGCACTCACAACCTCCTTGGGGAACCTATTCCAGTGCCTCACCACCCTAACAGGAAATAATTTCCTCCTTATATCCAATTTCCTCCTTATAGCCGATCAAAACTTCCCCTGTTTAAGTTTTAACCCATTACCCCTTCTCCTATCACTACAGACTCTAATGAAGAGTCCATCCCCAGCATCCCTATAGGCCCCCTTCAGATACCGAAAGGCTGCTATGAGGTCTCCACGCAGCCTTCTCTTCTCCAGGCTGAACAGCACAAACTTTCTCAGCCTATCTTCATACGGGAGGTGCTCCTGTCCCCTGATCATTCTCATAGCCCTCCTCTGGACGTGTTCCAACAGATCCATGTCCTTTTTATGTCGAGGACACCAGAACTGCACACAATACTCCAAGTGAGGTCTCACGAGAGCAGAATAAAGGGGCAGGATCACCTCCTTAGACCTGCTGGCCATGGTCCTTTTGATGCAGCCCAGGATATGGTTGGCTTTCTGGGCTGCAAGCACACACTGCCGGCTCATGTCCATTTTCTCATCCACCAGCACCCCCAAGTCCTTCTCCACAGGGCTGCCCTGAATCTCTTCTCTGCCCAACCTGTAGCTGTGCCTGGGATTGCCCCGACCCAGGTGTAGGACCTTGCACTTGGCATGGTTAAACTTCATGAGGTTGGCATCAGCCCAACTCACAAGCGTGTCAAGGTCCCTCTGGATGGCATTCCTTCCCTCCAGCGTTATCAACTGAACCACACAGCTTGGTGTCATCGGCAAACTTGCTGAGGGCACACTCAATCCCACTGTCCATGTCAGCGACAAAGATGTTGAACAACACCGGTCCCAACACTGATCCCTGAGGGACACCACTCGTTACAGTTCTCCAGCTGGACACTGAGCCATTGACCACAACTCTTTGTGTGCAGCCATCCAGCCAGTTCTTTATCCACCGAGTGGTCCATTCATCAAATTGATATCTCTCCAATTTAGAGACAAGGATGTCGTGTGGGACAGTGTCAAACGCTTTGCACAAGTCCAGGTAGATGACATCAACTGCTCTACCCCTGTCCATCCGTTCTGTAGCCCCATCATAGAAGGCCACCAAATTGGTCAGGCAGGATTTCCCCTTAGTGAAGCCATGCTGGCTGTCACCAAGCACCTTGTTGTTTTTCATGTGCCTTAGCATGCCTTCCAGGAGAATCTGCTTGAAGATTTTGCCAGGCACAAAGATGAGACTGACTGGTTTGTAATTGCCTGGGCCATCCATTTTCCCCTTCTTGAAAATGGGGGTTATATTTCTCTTTTTCCAGTTGTCAGAAACTGACATGCCATGATTTTTCAAATATGATGGCCAGCGGCTTAGCAACTTCATTCGCCAGCTCCTTCAGGACCCACAGATGGATTTCATCAGGTCCCATGGACTTGTGCACATTCAGATTTTTAAGATGGTCTCGAACCAATTCCTCTCCTACAGTGGGCCCAAGGTCTTCATTCTCACAGTCCCTGCGTCTGCCTTCCAAGACTTGGGTGGTGTGGTCAGAGCCTTTGCTAGAGAAGACCGAGGCAAAGAAGTCATTCAGAACCTCAGCCTTCTCCAAATCCTGTGTAGCTAGTTCACCTGAGAGCTTCCTGAGGGGGCCTACATTCTCCCTAATCTGTTTTTTATTTGCTATGTACCTGTAGAATCCCTTCCTGTTATCCTTAATATCCCTAGCCAAGTTTAATTCTAACTGGGCCTTAGCTTTCCTAACCTGGTCCCTAGCTTCCCGGACAACATCCCTGTACTCTTCCCAGGCCGCCTGTCCTTGCTTCCACTTTCTATAAAACTCTTTTTTCATTTGAATTTTCCTCAGGAGCTCCTTATCCATCCAAGGAGGTCTCCTGGCCCTCCTGCTGCACTTCCTTCTGGTTGGGATGCAACACTCCTGAGCTTGTAGCAGGTGATCCTTGAAGACCAACCAAGAGTCTTGAGCCCCCCTGCCCTCTAGGGCTATATCCCATGGAACCTTACTAAGCAGGCTCCTGAAGAGGCCAAAGTCTGCTCTTTTGAAGTCTAGGGCAGTGAGCTTGCTGCACGCTCTTCTCACTGTCCTAAGGATCTCAAATTCAACCATCTCGTGGTCGCTGCATCCAAGGCTGCCCTGCAGTGCCACATTTCCAACGAGCCCTTCCCTGTTGGTGAGCACAAGGTCAAGCATGGCACCTCTCCTTGTTGGCTCCTCTATTACTTGCAGAAGGAAGTTGTCTTCCACACAATCAAGGAACCTTCCGGATTGCTTGTACCGGGCCGTATTGTCATTACAACAGATGTCAGGGTGGTTGAAGTCACCCATGAGAACAAGGGCCTGTGAGTGTGAGGCTTTTCCTATCTGCCTATAGAGTGCTTCATCCGCAGATTCCTCTTGATCAGGCAGTCTATAACAGATCCCCACAGTAATGTCTCCCATCGCTGTTTTCCCTTTAACCCTGACCCACAAGCTCTCTGTTAACTGCTCACCAGTCCCCAGACAGAGTTCCATACTCTCCAGCCTATTCCTAACATAAAGGGCAACTCCCACTCCGCGCCTGCCAGGCCTGTCTTTTGTAAAGAGTCTGTAACCTTCCATTCCAACATCTGTAACCTTCCATTCAGTGTCTGCTAGATCCCTATCTCACCTGCCAAAACCAAAAAACAAATGCGTTTGTCTGGCTTTTCATGTGTTTACACATTCTGTCTCCTTTTGTGTAGATCACACAGCAGCTACCAGATGGCATTCACTGTGTAGGGTGAAATTTGAACTTCAAAATGCGAAGTACTTCACATCCACTTACCAGCCCACCAAACATGCTTCCTTACATTCCACTAAGAGTAGAGAAACCGTTTTCCACATTGACTCACCTCAGGCATCCCTTCAATGTCTGAGGAAAGGCTGCTTTCATGTTTGGCTACAGCAACTGCAAGACCAGTTAAGGCAAAAATAGAGTTTCCTTTCACCACTGGGCTGTCCCTGGACAGAAAAAGGCAAGCACATAAGAAGCATAACAGAGGTGCAGGCAACAAAATATGTATATCTCAGTGCATGGAAATTATGCTACAGGTGGTAGGAGGAAAGGCCTTTGCACCTAGCAACTCTATTGGGCTGTCTTCTATCTCAGCAAAAGTCTACTCCATCTTCAGAAAATAGAAATGGAGAATGGAGGAGAGAAGTGTTTCAGTCTTTTTTCATACTTGTCTTTTATATGAAGCCTAGCACACACAAAGTTGTATAAAAACAGTAGCTTGCTTCCACTGTAATGAGGACTGCCATCCTGCAGAGCAAGCAGCACCCACAGAAATGCACCATCTGGTCTTAAGTAGTACCATCTCTACATAGGACAACAAAAAAAAAAAAAAGCTCTTCAAACAGAGAATGCTAGACAGGCAGGTGCTGCTTCACTGCAACAGCATCTGTTCAGGAAATTCAGCAAAGCAGCCATCACTGAAATCTCAGCTTCAAAAAAAAGTTATGAATTACATTCTTACACTATGAAAACATTAACATAAAAGGAAAACAACAAGTTTCAAGGAGTACTAAGTTCTATCATGCTGTAAACCTTTACTTTCAGAACTCAAGAAAAAATACATAAATCTGCCACCTACAAATAAGAGAGAGAATTTAACTTATGTTCAGTCTCATGAAAAGATAGATGTCAGTATCACAGTTACTCAGTCTTCCATTTCTAAAATCTTCCTCAATTGTTGCTGTAAAATTGTTTTTTATTTATTATTTTAAATTTAATTTTAAAAGTGAAAATTTAGGCATCTGTTTCCGATCCAAACCCCACCTGATTTCTGGTTTGCTTTTTAAAACAGGACACACAGGTCTTAATCGACTGTCACTGAACTCTCCTGCTTTGAACACCGGAATGATTTCCTTTCAGATAAGAGATACCTACAAGTAATTACAACTAGGTGCTTAGTTAAGTTCTTTTAAATCTCCCCGTATCTCTTGCCTTAAATAATTACCCAGTCTATGTAAACATTTGGCGTTGTTGGCCATTGACTTCAAATAGGTTACATTTCATGAATCCATTTGGAAGCCTGTAATCACTGGTATTCCACAGGGATCAATACTGGGTCCAGTCTTATTCAGCTTGTTTATCAATGACCTGGATGAAGGGATAGAATGTACCCCCAGCAAATGCTGATGATATGAAGCTGGGGTGAGTGGCTGGTACACCTTAAGTCTGTGCTGCCATTCAGCTGGACCTTGATAGGCTGGAGAACTGGGTGGAGAGAAACCTAATGAGCATCAACAAGGGCAAGTGTAGGGTACTGCACTTGCAGGAAGATCCCCAAGTACCAGCACAGGTTGGGAGCTGACCTACTAGAGCAGTTCAGCTGAGAAGGACCTGGGAGTACTGGTGGATGACAAGCTGACTATGAGCCAGCAGTGTGCCTTTGTGGCCAGTAATGCCCATACTATCCTGGGTATCAGGAGAACTGCGGCCAGCAGGTCAATGGAAGTGATCCTCCCTCTGTACTCAACCCTAGTAATGTCACATCTCAAGTGCTGTGTCCAATTCTGGGCTCCTCAGTACAAGAAAGCAAAGAAGCTACTGAAGAGAGTCCAGTGAAGGGCTACAAGAATGATCAGGGGTCTGGAGCACCTCTCATACGAGGAGAGGCTGCAGGAGCATGGCATGTTTATTCTAGAGAAGAGAAGACTGAGAGGGGATCTCATTAATGCACATAAATATCTAAAGGGTGGGTGCTTGGCTGAACACGAGCCAGAGGTGTACCCAAGGCAGCCAAAGCGGCCAACGGCATTCTTGCTCGTATCAGAAATAGTGTGACAAACAGGACTAGGGAAGTAAAGCTACTTGAGGCTGCTGGTTAAAAAACGACCTAGTAGTGCACATAGCACTACCCAGGTTTTACTCAAAACATTAATCATCAGCCTTTCTAATAGACACAAATTTGTAGTAAAAATCTCATGGCACAGGCTGGGGAAGAGTTCCTTTCCTAAAGAGCAGTCATGTGAAATAATGAAACTGGCATATAACCAACTGCAGAAAATATTGTATCTTCTGCCACAAAACAGATTCTCATCTGTAACAAATTAATAGTTCTTACTTGGAAGCACCTTTGATGATATCAGTCAACATATCTCTGACCCTGCAACAGAAACAGAAAGAATTTACACCATGCTCATTAAACTGTAGCATGAACTTAGGCTGAATTCCCCTTATGCCTTAAACATGTGCATTCTAGGTTAACAAATACCTCCCTTTGCTATCAGAAGACTTGACACAAATTAATCAGAAGTACTAAAACTGTAATAGTGCTAATGTACCACCAAACATATCTTCATTGCCATATATTCTACCAGTGTTTTATAAATGGCTCTTATTTGACTTCATACCACATTTTGTAAAATACAGGTTCATACAATAGCCATAAATGTGTCCATTGACCTGTTAGCATAAGATTCTAGATCACTGTGGTATGTCTCACCTTAATAAAATGAAAATATTTTACCATGATAAGCATAACAATTTATCCAACACTTACTATGCTCCTGGAAACTACTATAGGCAGTTATGCTATTTGGCAGTATAGCAACCTGAATCCATTTAAATGAAAGCCATAGGAGTAACTAAAATTTCTTACACATTACTGTAGCTGATTTAGAATAGGCTACTTGTCTACATCTGTTTGGTTTTGCATTCCTATCAAGACAGAAGCAGATATGCAGTGAATCTTCTATATTGCAAAGTTCGGGTGAGAAAACAGATCCTGTCACTGTAACATACAGTATCAGCCTGGCCATGACTTTTACCAACAGAGAAAGATACACTCCAATCACAGGTCCACAATATGTGATTATGCATGCCTTGTAAAACAGGGCTGTATAAGACTGGGTTAATCTCAGGCTGTAAAAGAAACCTACTCAGGCTTCCTTCATAACCACACTGTACTTGCACAGAGTTTCAAACCCATCTACACCAGAAACACACCAACTTAGCAAATATAAACACAAAATTTCACAGTACTTGCACAATAAAGCATTAACACTGAAGTTTATATGAAGCTGTCCACAGTCAGGTGAAAGCCAACGAGTAACACAAATGCCTAAATGGTACTAAAGTTAGAGCCCTGAAGCACCAAGCAATTACAGGGCTACAGTAAAAGATACGAAAGCTAACACTGGGCTCTGTGTTCACTTACTACTTTGATTTCTCTTCTGTTACAGGGAATTCTGTTCATTATTTATATATTTTACATTCAGACTACTCAGAAAATACAAATGAATCTTTCTATGAAACCCTTTAATTTAGATTTAGCTGGAACAAAACAAGACATAGAATCACTGAAGGGGTTGGAAGGTACCTTAAAGATCATCTAGTTCCAACCCCCCTGCCATGGGCAGGGACAGCCCCCACTAGACCAGGCTGCTTAAAGCCATGTCCAAGCTGGCCTTGAACACTGCCAGGGATGGAGCATCCACAGCTTCTCTGGGCAACCTGTTAAACAGTCTCACCATCCTCATAGTGAAGAATTTCTTCCTAATGTCTAATCTATAGCTAGCCTTTTTCAGTTTAAAGCCATTCCCCCTTGTCCTGTCACTACATGCCCTTGTAAAAAGTCCCTCTGTAAATTGACTGTAGGCCCCCCTAGTTTTACATTCCTGTTGAGTGTGACTTAGTAACACCTTTTTGCCTGACAGGCAAAGGCCATTTGAATTTGTCTGTATGTGCTTTGTTCCCAATGTACTTGTGAACAAGCACAGTTAACAAGTATTTGTACTGTCCATGGATATGTAGCTCTTTCTCTCCCTGAAGCCTCCACTTCCCACCTTGTTCCCCTGGCTATGGACATATGGCTAAATCCTGAGAGACTGAAAGACACTCCTTAGCTGACTGAAACTCAAGTAGTTGAGGATATGGATCAGAGTGTGCATCACTTGGCTGGTTTTAAACGATATCCTCAGATTCAACATGGCTGGCTTACCATACGAACTCAGGTGTGTCTCAGTTTACTACAAAATCCATACCATGGCTTACATTTCTTTTATCAAGCCATTTTCAGTGAGACAGCTCACTTAGTCTCTACAAGTAAATTTTGCTTGCTGCATTTGTTTTGTCTCCTTTAACATGAGACAAAACAGGATTTTCTATTCCTTCCAGTTGCTTACTTGACAAAGTTTCAGACACTGTAGAGGTGAAGGTACCTGTGAATCCATGCATATGGAATCCTTGGAGACAGTTACCCAGTAGCTTCTTCCAAATCCCCCTGCACTTTGGCCATTGTATCTAGTGTCTGTTCTGTTTTGCTTTCCAATACTGCTCATGCAGTCTTCAAACTTGCAAAACTAAAGGCTTTGAAGTCTTGCCCTTCTCTGCCCCTTCATTTGCCATTACAAGTGTTGAGAACCAAATAAGCACTTCCTTACCAGAGCCAGGCTGTAAATTGTTTGTATTGCACCTCTTCAGGATTCTCTTTTCCATGTTTTAACTGCATCTCCAGCTCTGCCTGTCTGCCCTGCAGGATTACAGAGTAAGTCAGATCTTTCACAGCAAATCATCATAATAACATTTCCTCAGAGAACACTTAGGTAACACATGTAGTCTTTCATCGGAGGGCTACTTTGTAAGTGAACTTGACTGCTTTTCAGATGTAATATACAATGTATTAGGTAAAAAAAATTGTAATTTTTTGTTCTGAGTGAGGAAAACAAGTTGCAGATGGCACAAACAGCCACAGATACTGAGACATCTCTCCTAGACCATGCAAAGATACAAGTTCCCTTGGGAAGGGGTACAACGAGCAGGAAATAAGATTTAGAAGCTTGGTAGCTAACATGGTTTGTAACAGCAAAACATCGCTTTTTTTTTTTTGATTCACTACTTAAAGCAGAATTCCTCATCCTTTTCCTTTCTATCATCTAACCTCCCTGTGACCTGCTACAACAGCTTTTTCTGTATTTTAAAGGAGAGTATATGGATTCTGGCCTCTTAACAATTGTTCTCTGAACATATTAAGCAGCTTTGTTTTAATGTTCAGTCTCCACCTCAATGCAAATTACATCTCAACTTGCTTAGGTTGTCAGTTACTGCTCCTTAGTAGATTATTAAGCCTTAACTGAAAAAAATACAGCCAGGCCCATGTATTGAACACCTGTACTTTGGGTGTGCAAAGAAACCCTGAGAATACAATAGAGTCTATCCTGTAAACTCATGTCACCCAAAAGCTTACAGGAAGTCTCAAACACATGCTGAATGCACAAGCTGGTGGAAGTGCTTAATCATGTGAGTAGACAAGAGAACTCTCAGGAGTTCAAAGGGAAAAAAATCCTCAAGCAAGTGTTTTGGTGTGCCTCTAAAGTGTAGAAATGATTACTAGTTGTTCAGAAATGCTGAATTATGTACTATCCAGACTACTCATCTTATATGGCAGTCTCTTCTTGTCCATCTCAGATGACAGAAGCAAAGGGAATAAGCATAAATACCATATCTTCAGTGAGGGACTTCAGAAACAACAAAAATATGCTCTATTGCCCAGTAAAATGGTACAAGATCCAACAGAGGCTTTAAAAAAAAAAATCTGGTAAATGCCAAGCTTTCTACATCTTGACTGAGAATGGAAGTAAAATAAAAAAAGTAATTACATGCAAGCAACAATGGCCCCCTCTGTAGTTACAACCTAAAATTACAATTTAAATAGCTGTTGCCTGCTTTGTAATGGGACTGGATCACTTAGAATATGGTATTTTGCTGAGGGCCAAGATAAAATTTTTTTGAAAATGTGAGAGCAGATTATGTTTTGCTGAGCAGCAAAAAGAGGAACAATCAAAGCTTCTAGAATTTGCTCTGCAACCTGAGATGCTCACATTGAAAATAGCTGATGTGGCCTGGAAATACAAACAAATAAGACTTTCTAGTAACACAAAGAGAGCCTTCTACAAGTCAGCTGTTTGTTAAAAGCTTTTTTGATAATTTTCCTGTGGCAAAACCACTCTGCTCTAGATATCAGGTCAGGTAACCTAATGAAAGGAGGATTTAAGATACTTCCTAACCATTAGATAGGAAAAAAAATAAAGATAAAAAAATAAAAAGATGAGTTCCTCATACAGTGACCGCATTATATGCTGATGAAGAGAAGTTCTATTTAATGAATCACTCCTTGATAGCTTTTGTCTCCCCTGTGGTACTCTAATTACAAAATTCTCACTCAAAAATAACAGGTTAGAGCTCTAGCTAAAATTTAACATTCTAAAAAGTCTAAGAATTGGAACATTGTGCAGCTTGACACAGGAAGAACCTAAACTTAAGCAGAAGTTACACTTCTCCAAAGTATCCCAGCTTGTACTGACACTAACTTAAGACTCATTTCTTTTTCATAAATTTTACCATTAAACACCTCAAGCTTACTGTAACTTGCAAGGATGCTCTTCTTGGTAAAAATAAAACTCACACCACTTGAATTAATATTAGTGTGCACAATATTATGAACCTCGAAATTACCTGCAGGATTGCACTGTAGGCTCGACTCATAAATCCTAACCAGGACTGTGGCAGCAGTACAGAGCGGTGCCATTCAGAAGGTTGAATGTTAACCTGTGTGACACCAGAAAGGGTAGAATTGGTTACATTAAATCTAACATAGCAGAATGTATGCTCTCCAACCTGAGATTTGCAGATATTCATTGTAAGAACAACCCTATAGGCTCACACCGATGGGATGTTACACATGGCTGTAGGAAACTAAAATGATAATGTACTTTGTTATCCTTTCTGGTTAACACACTAAGTTAATTTCAGCTTCGTTACCAATGGTTGCTTCAGGCAGGTCAGATAACTGATCCCAGAGAGAGTAGTGGAACTGTATGTGGCAATAAGCACCACACTTGGCAGCGCTGACAGACAAACACAGAACAAAGATGATGGTGCTGCTTACATATGTCATAGTTTTTGTAAATCTTAGGTGTTTCTAAAAGCTTTAAACAGATATAAAATAAATACAAGTAGATGACTATCAAAATACAGGGGCAATTATTTAAATCAAGTTAGTGTTTGTGACTGGGGTATATATAATTATGTTCAAATACATAGTTCAAATTTCCTTTAAGGAAATTGTTAAAAAAAAAAAAGCAATGACAAGGTTTCCTTCTAGGAAGCACCAGCATAGAACTCACAAGAGGAAAACAAGACCACCTCAGTTATAATTTAAAGAAGTACGCAGCAGCTCTCCCTGCCTCCCTTCAAATCTTACACAGGTATAACAGCCTCAACTTCACAACAGAGAAATAATTCAGTCAACTACACAATTTGATCAGGTGCACAGACTTCTCTCAGGAGCCCAAGGCTGGTCTCTTCAATAAGTACCATAGCAAACTAACTGAAAGACTTTTACATGTGCGTTTAAAAACAAAAATGAAGTCAAGTGATCTCAGTAACAAGCCATTTCCTAGCCCTTTAAAGCTTAAGTAATTACAGGTCTAAGTGAAATAGAATGGGTCACAAATTCAAGGCCATTAAGGAAGTTTTTCCAGACATCAGAGACCTTCATAATATATGCCCGCTTCTCCCCACTATTTGCATATTATCCAATTTATAAATCAAAATATATTAAAAATTGCGTATCACAACTAATTAGAAGAGTCTCTATTTCTCTCCATGACTGTCCTAACTGCAGCAATATTTTATTATAGCAAGAGTACAGGTGTCCTCTCCTTTTAAACTGCTGTGTTTTCAGACCCAAAACCAACGTAAGCTCTGTAATTAAAATGATGGGCACGCATTGTTATATCTCATCATATTCAAAGATGGACATACAGAATTATTTTTCTTGCTACTGTCCAATTATTTCTGCCTCTGCCAAAAAGATGAAGAAAATGTCATCATAGCCATTTAGACTCTACTGAAGTAAGTTACTTAATATCATCGGTTTCCAGAGTAATCAGTATTTAATAAAGGAGAGGCAAACATGTCAGGCTGAGGTGAGACGGGATATCTCAGTATCCGCTGCTTAAGCCTTCACATTTTATTTCTAAATTAGAAGAACACGACAGACTCCCCAGGTAATGGAAAAACCCTGTGATCAGAAATTGTGCAAAGCCCACTTAGAGTAACTAATCTTGCCAGGCTTAATACCGGAAGGTTAGTATTTCTCTTTTTCAGTCCTCCTATTTTATTATGGAGACTAGTCACTGTTAAAATGTAAACTACTCCATGCCTCTATATATGGAAACCCCTCCTTTCCCCATCATGTGCTCCACTGGCACTGTAGAGACTGGTCAACCAAGATAAACAACTCCCCTTGTCTGCTAAGAACCTTCCTAAGTCTTCCTGGTTCATCTTCTCTATTTTATGCCCCTTGTGTTGTATATAAATATTCTTTCTTGACATGGATTTTGTAACAAAAAATATAGGACCATGCTAAAACTTCATGTCCACTGTTAGTGGTAAACCTAAAATGATTTTGCATAAGTACTAATACATGTATACATATATGCATATAAAAGTCAATCTATCAAAATAATTACCTACTCTACCCCACAGCCAACTTGATCACACCCTGCAGAAAAAAAAGAAATCTCATCTTTAACTGGGTAACATTCAGTAAAGCTAGTCCTTCCTTTTTAGCCAAAACTTTATTCACACACCCTTCTCATTTCTGCTCATCAACACAGAATCACAGAATGATTAAGGCTGGAAAGGACCTTAAGATCACCTAGTTCCAACCACCTTGCTATTGGCAGGGATACCTTACACTAAACTAGGTTGCTCAAAGCGCCATCCAACCTAGCATTGAACACTGTGAGGGATGGAGCATTCGTAACTTCTTTGGGCAGCCTGTTCCAGTGCCTCAGGGTTCCAACAGTACAGAATTTCTTCCCTGTATCTAACCTGGAGCTCCCCTGTTTAAATTTGAATTCATTACTCCTTGTTGATAAGCAGTCAAGGCCCTAGTCAGAATTGTGTACCTCAGGTTCCAGAGGCATCTGCAGCAACTCCAGCCTTTCCCTTTGTCTCTGCTCTGGAACTTTTTCAGATTTGTGCATTCAGATTTGTCTCATTGTGATCTATGAAGCTCACCACATAATCCATAATTGTGCATCGGAAGAAAAACAGGCCTTCAAAACACTTCAGATGCTCCGGCAGGAAATACAAAGCTTTGGGTGTATTGTTACATTTGAAGCAAATTAGACCATATTGTCTAATTAGGAAAGTACTATTAGCAACTCACACATCTTACCTAAAGTTTGCAGATATAGCTGATGACCAGCAGAACTGCTGAGCAACTTTTGATTATTTGACCTTCTTCATGGCAGTAAATATTTATAACAAGTGGAATGAGAGGAAGAGGGAATATAATATCTTCACATGACAAAGAACACTCAACTAGATTTCACCTATGACTGAAAATGATTGGATATAGTACTGAAGATTACCACATAACCAGTGCTGATATCCACTATTTTAGTACAGGAAAGCAGCAGTCTTTACTCCTCTATCACTGGACACACAATGACAACAACAACTACATTAAGCATTCATTAACTAACACTAGCAAGCACAGACAAAGCTGATAGTAAGTGAAGTTCAGATTCATTTGAGCGTGCAGTTTATGTGTAAGAAGATACTTGGCAAGTGGGAGGCACAGCGAAGGAAGGTTAAGTGACTTCTGAACCAATGAGTAGTACTGAAACACTGCCACACTGGTCCTGTGATGTTCTCAGGAGGCAGCACAGCCAGGCCATGCTGCTGAGTAGTTTTCAAGGACGAGCTGCAGCCTGATACCTGAGGCAATAAGAAACTGCATGAGCTAGGACCTAATAATATAAGCCTGTTGATAAAAGCTTAAGAGCATGTTTCCCTGAAAAGACACGCAAGCATAGACTGAGTTGGCCAAACCGCAAGACAGGGAATGCTGGCAAACCACGGGAGATCCTGCTCCTGTAGTTCAACACTTCTGAATCCACATGGCACAAATTTTGCACGCTTCTGCAAGACTTAAAAATAATACGAAATAAAATCAGAAGGTCGTTTCCCCTCTTCAATGCACTCCAACTAAAAATCAAACAGCATGGCAATGTCTTGATGAGCTTGCTTTCAGCACTGGTACCATTGTGTTTGCCAGTGACCTTTGTGTATTGCTCACTTGTTTTCCACTGATGCACAGCCAGCAGAGGGCACATGAAACAAATTTAGGGAGCTGTGAAATTAAGGCTGTTTCTATCATTTCCCTGGATATTTAATACAGAGAATACTGCCTACAGAACTTAGAAATGATGATACCATTAATATTTATGGCCGATCTTAAAACCTGCTGTAGAGAAGGGAGACAGGGAATCCCAGTAACTTCTTTTGCTAACTACAGCAGGTTTCTACCTCAGTAGCCCTGCCAACTCACTTGATTCCTAATTTCAGTCATCTCTTAACAAATGTGTGGGTGTGAAAACATGTTTTAAACAATGCCCATATGTCATTTAAAATTTTAGGCACGTATTTAAATGCCCTTCTCATATATGTAGCATATAAACTGCAGCCTCAGTTCATAAATGAGGCTAGCATTACATATTCACATCCATGAAAGAGTGAAGCAGCATCTCTTTTAATTTCAAATTTTGCTTAGAGGCTCTTTTTTAACATATTTGTGTGCATGTACTTTTAAATCCTCTCCAAGCATTCCTTTGTGAGAAAAAAATTGTCTGAGTTTCTCCAAGGCATATCAGATTGAGGAGGAGGAAAGCAAAAACCTACAAATTACAAATTTACTTCCTGAATACCATTTCATTACTGGAGGAGATACATTCAGTAAATTCAGGAGTGAAAACCAGCACAAAGTAGTTCATAATCTGAACTACATCCACAGAAATACCTTGGCACAGACAAATACACTACAGTGAATTCTGCTCCAGGAAATCCAATTACCACCTTCAGGTACTTCACATATAAGGTTTAAATAAGGCCATAAATCTCTTGATCACATCAAAATGAGATCAGGTAGGAAATGTACAGAAGGAGTTTCCCACTTCAGTGCTCAAAGATACGTGTCATCGCAGCATATCTAATGAATGTACTTAAAAATAGAAGCAGGGAATGCTCCGTGAGTACACAGAGCGCCTAACATGATCCCTGTAGAACAGTATTTAATAATGTACAACTCATTGCTGGCACCCAACTTTGCAATTGTGTCTGTAAATATTACTAATTATTAGGGCAAAATAACTGCTACTTTCAACACAAAGAAAGCACTTGAATACTGAGAAACATGTGAAATCAAGACCATCCTTCATTCTAAAAGCACTGCATTGGTTCCAACTGTCAAAAAACAGGCTGATGTTTTTTCATAGAGCATGAACCTTTACCTCCATTACAGAAAGAAAAGATGGGTAGCTAGCTGAAAGCCTAGTAACTTTAACTCAAAACATACATTTACAGAACCATCAAAACATATGGTGCATGATGTGAACATATGTGACTATTAATCCTAACTAATTTTCACAACACAGGTAAGTGAAGCTGCTGAGAGATTACTCCTGTAAGCTCCTAGATTTACTCCCAAAACTGAACCAGACACAGGTAATTATTAGCTAACCTAGCCCAGGTGACTGTGATAACCTCACAGGGCTTCTTGTATAGTTGATCCAGGCAGCTGTAGAGAAAACAAAACCCATGGTCTGTGCGATGTCTGACCACTGTGACTACAGTAGCTTATCTGTCCTCTCAACGAGAGGTTAACAAGCTCTGTTTAATAATCAGTTGAACAGCACATCCCCATTTCTGGGAAAGATGGTCCTCCTCTTTCAAGTCACCAGTAAAAAGCAATACAGCATTTTAAATGCACTACTGTTTATTGAACATATGTTTTGCCTCCTGTGAAATACCAGTGCAAATGACATCAAAATCACCTTCTGCACCATCTTAACCTGATTTTGCTGACAGATATTACAGCTGTATGCACTCCCTCACCTAGAGTAACACCCAGGAGATAGAATATTTCTGGCCCGTTATGGTTTAATAGTAAATTACCTTTTCATTATCGCTGTTACTCTCAGATTTGAATGGCAGCTAAACCCACGTAGTTGTTATTTGTATGCTTTACAGACTTTTAAACATGCAACCTCTGCATACAGACCTCACACAACTAATTTTTTTTTTTTTTTTGGCGGCAGAATCTCAGGCATCACTCTTCTACACATAAATAATCTTACAAAAATGAAACTGCTTGCCTGAAGCCCCTCCCCATGCCTCAGTTTTCACAAAACTGAGCATAATAATGGCAACTAAGCATATAGATACACAGATACGCAACCTGTAGGTTTAGATTCTACAGATATGAGCATAGAGCAAAGCACTGAAGAGACAAAAACCTTATTATCCCAGTACACCAATTATACTGAAGACTGCTAATCACTAAGGAAATGCCAACCACTGGGGATTTTTGGACATAAAATGAATGGACGCTTGTTAGCTCCCGGTTAACTGTAATTTCTTGGTCTTTACATCCACCTCACACTTTTCTCTAAGCTTTATGCTGAGAGCAATACTTCAAAGACCACTTTGAGCTTTTATAACAAATGCTTCTCACTTTACTTAAGAAGTCACTATAAGAGTTAACACCCTCTTCCCCACTCCCTGCAAATAAAAAGGACTCAAAGCTGTAGCAAACAAATGTCATTCTGGTAATTTAAACCCCCTAATAAGCCCTCCGTTAACATGCTGTGTTGAACTCTGCAGCAATGACTTCACAAAACCACATCAATTCCTACAGTGACTGTACAGGCAAAAGGTGAGCCTAGGTCTTACTAACTCAATTTTCTTAGACCAATACTGCTATTTGATAGCTTTATAGATTAAGCTCCCTTTTTACTGTTAAGCTCTGCTCCTCAGAAGAACACTGAGGGCTAAACAAACACTAAGGCACAAAATTCGATCAGATGAGCCCATGGACACCTTTCTCTTCTCATCAAAGGCACTAATACCTTTTTCTGACAACCCTAACTCCAACTATCTCTCTGTACAAGGGGAAAGAATGCAAGAACAAAACTTGTCTGTTAAAGCAGTGTAAGCTCAGAGCAGAAATACTGATCTATTTCAATCAAAACTTTACAATTATTGTGAATTTTCACTAAAAGGGTACAGTTAGGATTGTCTGAAGATGTTTCGCTGTTAGGTTTATAATTCAAACATACCTGGATTTCTTTTTAGTTTTAACACACCTTGAACCAATTAACTTTGCAAACAACAAAGATAGTTCGTAGAATATTTCTGTCTCCAGTCATTGGTATATATCACTAACTCCACCAAGTTCACCACATGGATGCTATGCAAGCCTGTGCACCATTCATAACTTCTTACTCTAAATCTGCTTCCATGACACATTTTGCAATAGCCTTGTAGACTTCCCCTGGTACTCTCCATTGGAAAATGTTAGATAACGTCTACTGATTTACTTGAACATTTCTGTGAGGATGAGGGGTATTACCTCCAGTTTCTGCTTTTATCCTTTGCAGTTAGATATAAAAATGGAAAATACCTGCTAAACTTGTGTAAGTGATTAGATAACTTGAGATCTGTGTTTAAGGGTGGTTTTGGGGTTTTATTTTTACTATTTGAGAGAAGAATTTGCAATCTGAATTACTTCAGAACCCTGCTGACACCGGCTTCATAACAGAGTACCAGGGAACAATTTCTATACCTCAGTACAACTGGTGCAGAATAGCTTTCATCCTTGTACCCCTTGGCCTAATTTCTACTGGGATCCATTTGGTGTCTCTATGGCCACAAGACAAAGGACCAAAATGACAGATGCTGTATGACAGGCAAAAAATTTATATGCATCCTAATACGTGGAAGTGTTTGAGAGATGTTTCAGGGCTGGAAGACTGAACTAGGCAGAAGCTGCCAATTTCAACATACATACAACACATTGCTTGACTGGAAACTTAGGCAAACTATGCAGCAGACAGGTTTGCTAGAAAGGGAACTAGTTAATTTGCTCTAAAGAGAGTGAGGGAGTGAACTACTGTAAGTGCAGAGTGAAAAAGCAGGAAGCAGAAATTGAGAGCAAAGCTAACAGAGCACTATGCAGATGCACCACAAGATCAGAATGCAGCAGCCCTCATGCATTTTCTACTGCATGTCCACCTGTGTTCTGTGCCAGACTTTCAGTTTGTAAACAGAAAACTCTCCAAACCCTGTGATCACTTATTTCATGACACAAAGTGTTTGGTGTCAGTGATTTTACTAGCACCATAAAGAAATTTTGCAGCTGCTAGCCTCCAGGTCTGCTGGGTGTCAGTCACAAACCAAAATCAGGACCGAAACACGTTCCCACCTGCAAACCATATTTTATTCATTCTAGCTTTTCCAACTTCTGCAACAAGTACAGTAAGAGTATTAGATAAACACTTCCTTTTATTTTACACAGTTCTGGTTGATCCTGTGCTCTGAAGAAAAGGCTCCTATGTACAAAACAGCATACAATAAAATGACACTGCTTTTATTTCTGGACATTCTGGCTAAGACTCAATCTAAATTTTACACGAGATTTGTTTTATCACCATGTAAGCTCTCTTGCTTGTATCAGACTAACACAATTTATACATTTTTGTGTCCTGTGAGCAGAAAATTCACCGTCAGACTGAAATCAACCTCTGCAGCAATACAAAATGACTGTATTAACAGAATTATTTTATGAACTTTTAAGGAAATGAATACACTTCCACTCTTGTTAGTAACTGCTCTCATTGGCATAAAATTAGGAAAGGACCACTTATTTCCCTGGATGCAGTGTAACCACTTAGTTGCTTTCTGCTCTCCAAAATTTTCAAATAGCAACTTTCATATATACCATAAATACCATAATTCTAAACTCTCTGAAAGATCTGTTTTACAAGCACTTCATTTTCTGTAATGATTAAGTTTTGCTGTAGTTTATCCAAAACTACACCAAAGGTAACTGCATGGTTTCTGTGATGTAAGCCTAATAGGTCAGGGAGTTGAAACATTTAAAAGACAAAATAAAGTAGCAAGTCTTAGCAAGGTGAAAATATCATTCCCCCACAGAATCTCATTGCTGTTCAGACCTGTTATTCACCTACAGCTGGTTACATACAACAGGCATAAAGCAGGTACAGTAGCCTGCAAGGTGGATAAAGGCAAGGTCAACTTCTGTTTGTTTACTGATTTTCAGAAGTACTTCATCAGTGAACATGTAAAAAGTATCTACATGTTAAGTTAGATGGTCCTTACAGCAACTTTAGTTAATTATCATATATTCATACATGCCATTGCTAGCTGATGCTAATACCTAATTAGCATAAACAAGTGAGGTAGTAAGACAGGGAAGGAAAGCGTAATACTTATGAAAAGGAAAGAAAATCAGCAACTTACCTCATGAATGAGGGCTACCAACATTTGCTGGAAATTACGGCCCCTGCTGACCAAAAATCGATTAATAGGCTTCCCATCTTTACCCATATGGACTGGAAGGTCGTAACAAGACAACATACCAGCTTAAGGAGGGAGAGAAGGGGAAAAGAAGGGTCAATACCAATACTCATGGTAATAGTTCATAAGTCTTGCATAAGCTGGGGAGAACCCAAAGCAAAGTAAAGTTAACAAAGCCTTCAATTTAAAAAGCCTATGTAAGCATAGGCAAGTGGCATAAGACATTGTTTCTTGAACTGATTAACTCTCAGATTCATAGAAATACTTGGGTCAGAGCATGCATATTTGTCTAACTTCAACAAACTGACAGCTTACCTGCAAGGCCTGGCGTCATGCCTGGTTGTTTGTTCCTCTCATACATTTTCAGCAAGAAATTTGGAACACCTGCCATGGCTTTCCCTTGGTCTGACCGTGTGGTCCCTCCTCTCAAGGCAGAATGATAGATACCACGGGGCATGTTGGTCATCTCCTGTTTCACAAGTGATGTTGCAAACTCTTCAAATGCTGGATGAATTGCAACAAAAACAAAACCAAAAGAGCCCCCCCAAAAACAAACAAACAAAACCAAAACAAAACAAAAAAAAAGAAAGGGAATGTCACAGACCATGATGGCAAGGATCCAAAACAAACCCTGGAAAACCCAAAATGATACCACTGCTTCATGGGAAATAAGCTTAGATAGGCTAGTCATGTCAAATACCAGAACTCTTAGCAAGTCTCTCTGACGCCAGTGCAACACCACACTGCAACATCAAAAGGCTCTGGGTAAGTCAGATACTAAGGCAGGAAAGAAACATGGTCTTAACTATGCCATGAGATATTGATTGCCTTCTGACTGCCATATAAAACTGGCACAAGCTGACACAATGACAAAGAGAAATAAAACTGATATTTACCAACACAGTGAAAAACATTGTCTCTAAAACCAGGTTGTTGTAAAAGACATTTAAAAGAAGCACAATGCAAAGAAGGTAGGTGGAGAGGGAGCGTATATATGCAAACAGTGGATACAGAGAGAAGGAAGTATTCCCTTGACTTCTGTTACCATAGCTGTACAAATTGTTACAGTTCTCTGCTCTCAAGCTATGCATTTATAGTCTAATCAGGTTTAACATTACGCAATTAATATTAATTTACTGTTCATTTGTGAAGTTAATCTTGAGCAACTTCTACAGGCACACATTAGAAAAAGCCATGCTCTGTACATGTTGTGTGTGTAAAATACATGTACATATACAACTGCAAGTTAGTTGTTACCACATCACGAAGAGCCAGCATTGTACCAGCACCCTGAAAACCTTGCATGTTTAAAAATCTGTTAGTGCTTTTGTTACATAACTGAGTTTTAAGAGGATTTATAACAACTGTTTCACAGTAGGCTTAAAACTTTGCCATACAAGCTCTCAAATTACATGCAGTCCTACTTTGACTAGAAACTTGAAGACAAAGGAGACAAAAGGGTATTCACTCATCCTTTCTGGGTCCAAGAAATACCTATGGCAGCTTGGAACAAAATAGTTTTATATGTTTTCATTATGTCTTTTTATACCAGTTGTTGTGGTTTAAGCCTAGCTGGTAAAACTCAGCACCATGCAGCCACTCGCTCCCTCCTTCCTCCCCCACTCTGGGCTGGATGGGGAGGAAAACTGAAAGAATGCAAACCCCACAGGTCAAGATAAGAACAGTCCAATAACTGAAGTACCATATAAAACTACTACTACTACCAGTGCTAATACTAAGGGAAACAATAAGCAAAGAGAATATAAAATTAAAAACGGAAGTAAAAAAAGGCAATAAACACAAGTGACGCACAACACAATTGCTCACCACCCGCTGACTGATGCACAGCCTGACCCAAGCAGTGATCTGGGCCTTTGAGGCAACTCCCCCAGTTTATATAGTGGGCATGAAGTGCTGTGGTACAGAATACCCCTTTGGCTAGTTTGGGTCAAGTGTCCTGTCTCTGCTTCCTCCAGGATTCTTGTGCCCCTCCTCATCAGCTGAACATGAGAGACTGAAAAGTCCTTGAGCAGGGTAAGTGCTACTGAGCAGCAACTAAAACATCAGTGTGTTACCAGCATTGTTCTCAGAGTAAAGCCAAAACACAGCACTGCACCAGCTACTAGGAAGGAGAAAAATTAACTGTTACAACTGAAACCAGGACACCAGTGAGTACTAGCTGCATCTTCTTACTCAACCTGCTCTCTACAAAGTCCATTTTGGTTTCCCATCTTCCTGCTAATTTGCCTATCTCAGCATTCATTACACAGTTTGAGTTTTCTGCCCAGACACATCACTATCTTTAGTTGCCGTATGTTATGTCAGTCTTCCCCACAAAGCTTCCAGAACTTGACAGTTAGCACATCTATCACAACACAGGCTCTCCAGGTGAGACTGCATATACTCCAGACTCCAATGCATGGATTATCAAGTGAATGGATCTTTCAGTGAGCCCCCACTGGGAGAAAATACTACAGAATACTACTACTATCCCATGGACATGTTTACAAGTTACAATCAAACATCGATACCTCATGTATTCTACAAACAGTGAAATAATCATACTTTTGTCCAGGCACTAACATAACAAGCTTGTAACTGGAAATGAAAGGTAACACTCATGAGAGTAATCAAGTGAACATTCAAAATCCCAAATCCTAAAAGTGATTCAACTACATAGGTGTCAAAAAAGTGCATCAACCAGAGATCATCTGTTGAAGCATAATTTAAAATCAATATGCATCACTAAAACATTAAGCATAGCACTGATCTATTTATTAAATAGATTTTTGTATACAGCATTGGTTTAATACTACTGATACTCTGTTTATACAATATTATGGGTTTGGGTGTATGGTTTTTTCCTTCAGCCCGTGCTCAACTAATATAAAGAGCTGCCTTTAAAAACATCTGCTCAGTCTTCCCTATTGAAGTTGCACTTCAGTGAAACAATGGACACTTGAAGCAAGTAATAAGCAACTGGCTTTTTCTTTAGGACAGATAAGGATTTTTAACATTATGTTATAAGCATTTTTTCCACCACCAGGACCTCTGAACCCCTGTCTTCCTAAAAGTGGGTTGGGCTTTTGTCTTCCTCTGAACTTTCACTTTAATATTTTTCCTGTAATTTCGTATAACATTATCCAGCTGCACTTTAACCTGATACTCCACTATAAAAAAGCCATGTCTGCATAGTCATGGTGATTATAAATCTGCAAAGTAACCTCAAATACTGAATATAATATACCTCCTAAAACACAAGCTGGTGTTAGAGACAACAGCTTGATGTATGAAGAGCCTGGAACAAAAAGATCTTCTCCTTCATCCACGTCTGCCTCCTCCAAAGTGTTTACTTCTGGTCGTGCCTGAAAGATTTAAAGAAATAAATAAATCAGCACAAAAATTCAAAATCTGTTTCCTTTCATGACTCCAAGTGTCAACAAAGTGTCAAAAATACTGACTAAATATGAGAAGTTCCGCATTTCATTAGTTTCACTCCATTTTGTTAATTTGAAACTAAAAGAATAAAAGCTTTTCTTTTACCTGAAGGAAAGGCAAAGCTGGTTGATAAAAACCACGAGTATGTAAATCCGTATCTATAAAAGTAAAATTTCTCTCTAAGTGTCAAAACTGACCTAATATTACTAAAACTTCATTTTCTCTCTGACTCTTCTTCAATTAGAGAAAAACAGTATTTTATTTTGGCACTTTGATAACACAGACGGCACTTTTGTTAGGTGTTATTATCCTATACTAGTTTTCAGAATTTGAAAAACTGCAATATATTTATAATGCTTTCAATTAAAACATACTTATTTTCTAACAAGTATAAAGTAACAGTACCAATAAGAGCTGTGTACTATTGTGAAAAATTCAGTATTGCAGTGATGTTTAGATTCCCCTCATTCTATCTTGTGCTTTTCCATGCAAAATACGTTTTTCAGCTATAACATTTGTACTGAAATCGCCTCACTGATTTATATAAAACAAGAACATTTTTAATTTTAAAGTTGCTTATTCTGACCTTTCATAATAGCTAGTTACAACACACAGATGGTGCCAATCTTACAATAATGCCATAAATAAAAACTTACCGAAGCATTTACGATGCCATAAAGTACCAACAGACTACTGATTATTGCCAAGTCTGTCTTAAAATTTTTTTTTTCTGAAAATAGCACCTACTTTTCAAACTGACTTGCCCATTTTAGGAACAAAAGCACTAAGCATGAGGGTGACTGCAATAACGAAGCAGTAATCACAAGTGCCGCATAGTGTCAAGACTCAACTGCAAACAGTAACAGAAAAGCTTAAAATGCAAATTAGGTGACCAAAAAATAACCTGCTGACTTAATTAATGCATTAAAAAAAAATTACTTTTTGATTGCTTACACCTCACTCTCTGTTTGTGCCCTCTCCTAAGTCCTGTTTATGCTAATCATACATACTTCCATCCCATTTCACCAGCAGGAGCTCATATTCCTTCTATAAGGGAGGATGGTTCTCTGGCACAAAGCCTTCTCTCCTTTACAAGAAGGTAAGAGGATACAACCCATGTAAAATGCTACCTGTTCAGGAAGATGAAAAATTTTATGTTCTTCAGAGCCAAATGCCGAGAGTGATTTGTAAGCTGAAATGGCTACAACAGCATCCTAGAAAATTAACCAGAGGAAAAAGAAAATCAAAAGCACAGCATACAGTAATGCTATCAACTGGAAACTGCACACGCAAAGAGCCTATCCACTAACTACGTTTAAAATAACAATGTTTTCCTGAGGCACACTCTCAATGGCTTACTTTACATATACAATGCAAACTAGGAGGATCCATTACCTAAGCTGGATAGTAAACACCTGATTGCTAAATGCCGCTACTGCTGGAAGGGTAGTTTATGTAGCAATATCCAAGCTATGTTTAAACTAAAATATTTTAGTTCCTCCAGTCCTATGGTGATGATGCATTACAATACCCCAGGAAAGAATTCAGCTAGTTCTCATAGCTGCAGTTTTGCCTAGATGCTTCATCACATCAAAGCTGAAGTCTACCCCTGGAGTCAGTTATTTTTGGCTACAATTCTCATTGTGAGTGGTTGATGTTAGGACCATCAGTTACCACCTTCCATGTGCATTACATTGCTTCACAAATGGCATTAAATGATCAATAACGAGAAGAAACCCTATTAGAAATGAGACCCCTTATGAGATAAATAACGATGTCTTGACAGAAAGGTATAAAACAATATCCAGTTGCTGACACCAGGAATTAATGTTTTCGGCTGTATCACCTACCTTGTTTTGTGTGTTGTTCCAAAGGAAGTTGACAACTTGAGCTTTAAATTTCTATAAAAGCAATCAAAACAGACATTCAGATTTTCTTTAACCAAATAAGCAGCTGAAATAGAGACAGTTACCTGAAACAAACTGCTGCTACATCAACATGCACTGAGCTAGGAAAGTGGAAAGGGCACATGTTTAAACTTCAGACGCATTCACATATCCCCACATTCTGGGGGAAGGAAAATTGGTCAACCTTGCACTTGGATTTCCCACCTATCTCCCATGATTCATTAATGCAAGTCAAACTTGTGGAGCTGTACGGAAACATGCATTATGATTTACCTCAGGCAGCCTGTGCGATTCAGATACTAAAACCAAGCATGTACACATAAAACACATACACAAAGATGCACAAAAAGAAGAGACTCACCTTTTTCCATGAACACATACCTCATGTTCACTTGTATTCACTGTTAATGAGGGAACCAGGGCAAACAACTCATTCAGTGCTTTTAAAATGAGGGGTCTTGTATCACAACTCAACTTTGGAGACAGAGCGCTCCATGTAGAACGGATGCAAACAACCTGAAGAAGATTAGGAGGCACCACTGCTAAAAGCAAACCCAACTTTATTTAAACATGTCTTTTCAGCACTTGACACATTTCTTCCTACTTAGGGACAGGAATTACAATAGTCACAAAAAAAAGCAAGCATGTCAAAATTTTATCTGCATTAACGATCTCACAGTATATTAATTAACATCATGCAATAATACTGTACAACAGTTCACCAGATAAAGCAGCTACCAGAAGGAGTAAAGAGGATGCTGTTAGCAATACACACAAAGTTGTAGATGTATCTTTACATAACTTTACTGGTCCAATTCACTCGTGCACCTTAGTTTAAAAGTAAGCTCTTTATGGGAGTTCAACAGGATGAAAGCAGAGGAAGCTACTGAGGAAACTATGTTTCCTGGGAGCCCTCCAAAACAAAATACTCTTAATCTTTAAACACAATCAAATCCAAATAGGTCTGCAGAACAGAAGAAGACTGTGAAACTGCAGGAATACAGCAATTTTTGGGAAAATGTCAAATTAAAATAAACACTAATACCACGGCTTCATAACTCCTCCACTAAGCGGGTCAGTTCTTACAATTTTCAGTGGGAGAAATCACTTCAATGAACAAGAAACATAAGAAAAGTAATTCTGTCACGAAATCAGAGTAGCATCATACTTCCAATTTTTAACTTGGGGAAAAAAAAATAATTTGTTTCTATTGTTAATAATGAATTTGGAGTCTTGACATTTGCTTTCCAAGTCCTTAGAACATAGTAACTTCAGCCTTTTAAATCTGCCTTTGCAGAAACCAGAAAGGCACTAGGCACTTCCTAAAGCTCGAGACCGCTGTATCCCCATTAATTCAGCCAGAGGGCAAGAGACCTGCATGGATGAGCAGGGAACTCCTAGGAAACCTTAAACTCGAGAAGGAAATTTATGGGAGGTGGAAAAAGGGAGAGGCCAAGTGGGAGGGCCACAGGAACATCATCAGGGTATGCAGAGATGTGACGGGGAAGGCCAAGGCCCACTTAGAATGGAGCTTGGCAAAGGACATCAAAGACAACTAGGGCTTCTGCAAGTGTATCAGCAGCAAAAGGAAGACAAAGGAAGATTCTCCTGGAGACATGATTCACATCTGAGAACTCAATTAAAAAAGGCACTCCACTTTTTGCCTAGATTTAAATACATGAACAGTCCACTGAATACAAAATCACTTTTTGTGCTTATGTTCATGATTATTGTTAAGCACTTTACCAAAATATCCTTAACTCTAAGTTACGAGTCTCTGAAATCGTTAAGCAACTTGTCATCAAGGCATTTGAGATACTGTGCCTAAAACATCAGTGCCACACAAAATCAGCAAAAAATTTTACAGTATATAAAGAAAAATCTTCTGTGTTGTATGAAAAGATGAGGCAGCAAACACTTCTTATTTTGTTGAAGCTTTGGAAGAAAGTATAGGCTTTGAAGTCTCTCAGTGAAAAAAAGAATACTCACAGGGGTGATACAGATTAATTGTTAGAGAAGTACTTTGATTTCTTCAGACAGAAGGTTATCCTGAAGCAAAGCTATTACTGCTGTGCAGCAATACCAGAGCTGAAATCCAAGCTTTTACTTTTCTCTTTCTCCTAGTGTTGGGAGTCAGTACAGCATGAAGATGGTAAGTACATAGGGATTTTTTGTGAACTGAAAGCAATTACACCCAAATGGAAAAAAAACCCAAAACAAACATAATTCAAGCTTCAGATGACAACAAAATCTGCATTATTCAGTGCACTCATAAAGAAGTCTCCTTGCAAATGTGAATACTTCCACCTAGGGATGCTAAAAAAGTCCTTTCTGGTCGACTGCTTATATTCACAGTCGTTATTTTATGAAGAATAACAACAGCATACAGGAAGATCTCAAGCTAAGCTGTGGCCTGCAAGTCTCCTTCAAGACACAAAGTGATTTGAGTGTTTTATGCACACTGGAAATTCTTCACACTCTTCCTCACACCAATCCAGACGCCCTCAGAAATCTTTGCACAGTCAAAGCAAATGGCCTTTTCATCAGGTTCCAAGGTGAAAAAGTGTTCAAGTAGTAAGAGTAATTTTGATCCTTTTGGAAAGGGAAGGGGACCCAACGAAACACTAGATTTCAAGTCCAAATTCATTCACAGCTAATACTCCTATTCCCACTATACTTTCCTCATTCCTTCTTCAGTAGGAACAATTTACACTGCAAAACCAGCTCAAACAGTTTTACTGATCCACCTGTTTGACAGTCAAATAAGTATCTCCACATTCCTCCATGTACTCTTACATGAGAACTTCTCTTAAAAATTAATGGTTATTTTACTACTCTGATTCTATCTATGCTGATTACTCTTTTACCATCAGACCTAAAGTAACAGGCAACTACTAGATTGTAAAGAATATGAGAATGATTCATGTCAAGAACTTAGGAATCATTGTTACCAATGCACCTGTGACCAGTGTACCATGTATAATAAATGTCGCTATCAATGTAATGATGCGAAAGAAGAAGAAACAAGGGAATAGACTAGTCCCCTCTTTAATCATTTTGACTGTTAAAATAGTAAGGGTGCTTTCTGGCTTTGTTTTACTGCTTGAGTACTTTAAGGAAGGTGTTGGGTAAAAGTTTCTCAACCGAAGACAAGACCCCAGCAACCAAGGAAGAATAACAGAAAGGCGCCATGTCAACGTAAAGGAGAAGACAGGACTGGCTGAGACCCAGGACCACAAAGTTTAAAAGACTGAACCCCAAAGACCCCGGTGTGCGTCGTTGGCGGAGCGGAGACTCCTCGGCGCACCCAGCGCTGCTTGCTTATTGCCTCTTGATATTAATCGACTGTAATAAAATAATTAAACCAGATCATGGTTAAGATGAATTTTTATAACATAGATTGACAATGCACAAGATCTGTTCATCTCACAAATAATCTTTTCTTATGGTCACGTGTTGCATTCAGCTTCCAGAATTCACACTGAACCCCAAGATCCCTGTGAAAAGGTCAGCTTTTGTTCTGCAGGAGGACACAGTGATTTCAAAAGCTCATTGCACCAGCTGCTGCAGTGATTCTTTGCTGAGGAAAATAGTGATGCTGCACAAACCTGCTCTGTATCTGCTGCTTCTGGTGTAGAGCTTACCAATCTCTCCCTCTTTCTTCTTTTTTAAACCATTGATGTATGCTCTTTATTAAGTATAAAAAAAAAGTTAATATTTATCTCTGGACTGATGCACATTTCAGATGGAAAAGGAGCCTTCTATATACCGATGCACCTGTGTTTCAGAACATCCATACATTCAGGAAGACATCACTGCCTCAGACCCCATTCATAACATTTGGGGTTAGGTATTTAGAATGTTTTTAAGGGTTAAAAATTATGCTTCTGCCATCAATGATGTTTTCCACATCCATACTACCTTCTACAAAGCTGAAAGACTATTAGGCTGTAACTGCTACTTATCTAAGTTTTCAACAGCTTAGCTCTGTATAGTGAATAAACTAATGACTACATAACTCTAACTACAGCACAACAGCAACACATAATTGGTCCTACTTAGCCCTTCCCAGATAAAAAAATAAGCCTCTGCTGGCTCACCTTCACCCTTAAAGATCTGCATGACAGCTCAATGAGCAATCAGTACAATATTTTGAATTTCTAGGCAGTGAAAAACACCTATAAAATGCTCAGCCAGTGTTGCAGTTCTAGCTGAAGAATTACAGAGAAGTGACAAAAAGTTGTCAAGTCACAAAATATTACTGATATTAAAACTTTATTCTTGAGAGACTTTTCCACTTGCTTATGCTCTCTCTCTGTAAGAAGCCATGTATTCTAGCAAAAACGTAATTTCCCTGAGGCACTGTATCAAACCTCACACTACTCCTTGAGGAAAAATTCACTTTTCAGATTTTGCCACTGTATCTAAAATAATTCTGTCTGGAACTTATCTGTTTGTCTCTCAGTTTTCAGGCTCCACTGCAATGAAAACAGTGCAAAACAGGAAGAGCCACAAAGAAAAATAAAAGAAAAAAACAAGCAAACAAAAAACCCCAAACCAACAAACACAACCACTACACCAAAACCACCAAACCACAACAACAAAACTGAAAAAACAAAGAAACATACCAAACCTGTAACAATGTAGGCATAGAACCGAGGTCTAGACAAAAAAAAAACCCCAACAAAAAAAAAAAAAAATAAAAAACAAAACAAAACAAACAAACAAAAAAAAGTGTTTATATACTCAGCTTTTGAAAGGGGAAAACATACCAGAGCTGCAAATAAAAACTCTTCTTTAAACAATCTGAGCCACAATGCCATGAAAACTTCCAGGTCTATGAAATTAATGCAAAGCAACAGAAGACTCAGTCAAAGATAAATACAAATCCATCTATGTAATGAAATCACATGAAGGGATGTTTATGAGCATATTACACAAAGGCATTAAGAAATATAGTTTTACTGTTATTCTGCACTGAAAAAAAAAGCATCCTTGGTATCACTGAATTCAGGCAATTGCTTAATTGAGCAGTAAATTCAGTGAGTGCAAAACACATTTCAGAGTGCAGTTTAACAAAAACTGAAGATGCCTTTTGAGTTGAATCCAGTTCAGGAATAGCAAACCCACAAGCATGTTTCTATGGTAACAACCACTGACAGCTAGCAAGACCTAATTTGATAACCTTCTGAATGAAAACTATGTCTCTCATTTCCATTTTTCAAAACACACTGTCTGCAAGAACATGAAAATATCTCTTCCAATATTCAGAAAGACAGATAGCACTTTTTAGCACTTGCTAAATTAAGCTACCTAGACATTTTAACTTTGTAATGAGTTAGTCGTCTGGAAACAGAAAATACACCTTGTATTAATATGCAAAGAAACAGATTCAGGTTGTTGTGTCTTCATGGGGTCTCAACTGATATTGTTAATTAGGAAGACTTCAAAATTGGTAGCTAGACAAGATGCTTTGATGTCATTCTTTTCTATGGTATTATGCACATTCTCCAATT